ATCCCCACTAGGGATTAAATACCTGGGGCTCTTCACTTTTTAGTTTTAGAACTGAAGAAACTTTCTGGATGAGAAGTGAAACATCATCTGACTCCCAGGCTAAACTTCGGAATATTCCACAGGACATTTATTTTTCCTGCTTTACCAGAGACATCAAGATGATTTATTTATTTGATCGACTCCCAACTCTTTAAGAATTTGTCTCGACTTATTGAATTGGCTTGAACTAGGACCCAGTATATCCAGATCCTATTGCATCTTTGTGATGCCATGTACATAGACATGCTGGATAATGCTCCAAGACAAAATATATGCAAAAACCTGGTTACATAACTAATGTCTGATGAATTTTTTTTTTTGTCGTTCTGTGTTCTTGTTTAAATAGTCTTTCAACCCCAATCACCTACAGCTGAATCTCTGAGCATGCTCATGTGTTGCCTGACCCTTTTCCTGTAACTGACACTTTAGTGCCAGCCTGTGCCATGTAAATTAATAGCGGGAAACAGAATGATTATGACATTTAAAAGAGTTTCTGCTCTGCTGGTTCATTTTTTCCCTTTAATATGTGACTGGGAATTGTAATCTTTTTCTTTTTCACTAGACCAGTAATATTTTCCCTAAAAACTAGGAATTCATTGAACAGAACACTTTCATAGAATTTAAAACCTGATTTCTCTGAACACTAAATACAAAGGTACTTGCATTTAACAGCTGGAAGGCTTTAAAACTTGTCTTTTTAAAACAAGTTTCAGATGTGTCAATGCTGAGTGAGGCAGCGGTCTCTGCCCCACCCCCTTTGTCACTTCACTTCCTTTGCACCCTTCATTTAGGTGTTAGGTGTTCAACAGTTTCACAATTAGACATCAAGGCACAGCTGCTGCACTTCTGATCCAGTGGCATGGCTATTCTCTTTTGTCTTCTAACTGCGATGCTAAAAGGCCACCGAGGTGGATGGTATCTTTTCTTCCTGGCTGCTGTCATTCCAGGTAAGTCTAATAGCATTCAAGTGGAGTTCAACCATCCACAGACAGGTGACCTTAAACTCACTTGACAGGATTGTTTTTTATTTACATGTCAAAACCAAAGTTCTTCCATTTTCAATTGTTTTACTCTCACTCTTTTTGATACTACTGTTTCCACTTCTGTTTAAATGGTAATATTTCGTTGCAAGAGTGTAGTGTGGTAAACGTCATATGAGACTGCGCTGGTTTCCTCTCCCACACAGTGGTCTTTAGCTGTCCCAAAGATGTCGCGCTTGTCACTCTGTGGTTTTAGCAAAAAAGAGTGGTATGACCTGAGCAGAAGTACTTCTCATGCTGCATGCACTATTATCTGTGTCATTAAATTCTGCACCTTCTGAAATGCTGTTTTTGTTGACTCATTTAAAATTACTTGACTTTAAAAAAACTTTGGAACAGCCATTGTCGGCTAGTCAGTTTTAAATGGCAGCTGAAAACTTATTTTTACAAGTTAGCTTTTCCTTATTATGTGTTCACACCTTTCTATAGAAGTATATGTGCACAGTACAAATGAATGGATGACTGTATGTTTGAAAGCATGTTTGTGTGTATAGTGTATGTTGACTTCTTTAATGTAAGTTTTATCCGAACAGTAAAGCACTTTGCAGCTGTGCTTTTAAAATGAGCCATACTGCTCCACTTATTATCATGACTAACAGTATTCCAACTCATCCAACTTGTGCTCCTATACTGGTTCAGACTGTTCCAAATAACTGGAGTGCTCAATCGTTTCTGGTTCTCTGGGTTAATAAAGAAGTAGCTGTGTTGGACTGGAGTTAATGGGTGAAGGGCATTCAAGATAGTGGACCTACTGCACTCCCCCCTTAATGCATTTGACCAGTTTCTTTCTTTCTTTTTCCCTTTTTCAGGTAAATACTTACTGAAAGAGGGTTCTGTGTTGTATTTTGCGAAGACTTCCACTGGTTATTTATTCATTTCTAAATGATATACAACTTTATGCAAGGGATAAGAAAAAAAAAAAGAAAAAGAAACTGGGTATGACCAGACAATGAAAATAACAGGTGTGATCTTCTACCAGGTGTCCACTTTCAGAGCACTAATGGCTCCATCCAGCCTGCTTTGGAGTCTGAGCTTCACTCCAAGGGTCAGATCTACCGGCCGGTCCTGCAGCCATCTGAGGCCACTCCTCAAACAGGTACACCTGTTTTATTCCATGTATATGCATGGTCCAAATCCCCTGTTCATTTACAGCAGACAAAGAGATGCTGGTGTAATGGGACAAGAGGTAGAGGGACGTAAGGAAGATAAAATAACCTTTAAACCTGACACAAATGATCGTTTGTCATGCTGATTAATTTCATATTTTGAAGGCTAAGAATTGCAAGCAATATTGATTCATAGTTCACTGTGCATACGTGAAGAATTTGGGGAAACATGAGTGTGCAAAACAGATGGCCTACAGTTCATTTGTTGACTACTATTCAGAGAAGGATGCAGATGTGATGGCTTTAAAGGTGACTAACTGAAATATTTGAAAGTGGCATGCATTATAATTTTGCATGCTTGAGTTCAAAACTATGTTGTTGTTTTTTGTTTTTTTTTAATATATGGGTGCAGGAAACTATGTGAAGAAAGATAGAGGGAAACCCTGCATCAGAATTACCATGGGAGCAGAGTTCTTGGTCACTGAAAACAAGGTCAGTGTGTGTGTGTGTGTGTGTGTGTGTGTGTGTGTGTGTGGTCAATGGCATGCTTCTTTTTGTGTATTAGTATGAATTTTATTTTGTTGCTTTTCAGCAGTTTTTGCAAAAAGTGTGTTTGTATCAGCATGTCTTTGTGAGGTGTCACAAGCTGGTTTCTCACTGCAAAAATTTCCAACTGCCGTCAGCTTATTTATTTTTTTTCAGTTACAGTTGGATCGTTTCACATGGGAGTCAATCGGTTTGAAAGTCGTTTACACCTGACCTCAGTGTAATCATTTTTTTCTTTCTATGCTATAATAATATAGATTAAAATTGAGACACTGGGCGCGACATTGATTGGGCTCCAATATTTAACAGACATCATCTGATTCTAAGTCATTTGTGAGGCGCTCCTATTTTTCACTGACTGATCCAGATGTGACCCAGCACAGAAGGAAAGATTTGCTTGTCTTTTTCTTCAATGTAACGCAGAAATCAAAGTGAGAGGAGATGGTGACTTGTAATGCTGATCCTGAGCCTTTACTTTTCTCCTTTTGAAATCAGAAAACCTGGTATTTTGACCTGGACCCATCCAGAGTTAGGGTCAGTGGTTACTGTGGCAAAGAAGAGGCTCTTCTCTCTCTCACACTGCCAGACAATGGTGCCAGCCTGCAGTTCAAATTCAAAAAGGTACAACACTCATTCACTGCTGGGTGAACTCTCCGTGTCATCCTCATGCCTGCTGTGGATACCTTTCTTCACATCATAGTCAGTTTTACTCAGTTTAGGTCTGCCTTATCCACGTTCACATCGAGGCTGTAATGTTCTGTTGTTTATGAATCGGCTCAAATGTTTTTGTTTTTGTCCCCAGGAGAAGACTGTTTTCTACGTCATCGAGATGAATGCACATTTGTCTCCCATGCCTGTCTGCAAAGACTGTTCCAGTAAGAGCCAAAGGAAAAGACGCAGCAAACAGCTGGTGTGTGATTCAGATGCCCAGCATAAACTGAAAATTTAACTACTCTTGTGCTTCATCCTCTTCCCAACAGACAAGACTTACAAAGGTGTGTTGGCCCATGAAAAGCTGTTCAAAACTGCTAACGGTCAAAGCTTCATGTGCAAGTCTGAGAATCTGCTTTTGATGTCGTCTGAGCTGAAGATCAAGCTGGTTCCTGTGCAGATGCAGGCCTTCAACCTGTCTCAAGGACAGTATGGAAAAGGTGACTAGCTTTCACAGAAACAAATGAATGGAAACCAAATATCTCCTGCCCAAAGTTAGGTTTTTAGAGTTGAGGCAGAAAAAATGAACAAATTGGACAACATCTTACAACCCTTCAGGTTTACAGCCTTTTTTGTGGTCCCGTGTTTGAGAATGAGAGCTCTGTTATGATCTGACTGTGTGTAAAGACATCCCATTAGATGTTAAAAGTTTAATATTAGACATTAAATTTCTTATTGAAAAGAATTTTTAAAAAAAGAAGGTATTTTACTTAAATCCTACACATAATTGCTGCTCTGTTTCTCTCCATGGTTCAGAGGTGGAGTGCTGGGCTGACTATAACAAGAGAATCATTCCCATCATCATCGGGGCAGCCGTTGTGTGTCTCATTCTTATCAGTTTGATGAGCTTCCTTGTGGTCAGAGATCGCCGCAGAGATGGATACGAACGGATTTGAATGGCGAAGAGTTCACTGTGAAACTGGACTGGGGGTGGTGGTGGGGGGTGCTATTGGCTTGTTCATACACTTGCTCTTTCACTTGTTCTTTTCCTAAACCTTCATTTGGCTTGTCACATTCTTCTGTTAACAGCAAAGACGGTTTGTCTGGTATTTACAATTTGAATAAATAAAACTTTTTTTAAATGTTGTCTTTCTTTTTTTTTTTTCTTTTTTTTGTTGTTGTTGCTTTCATTAATGTCTTGTGTAATTTTAATTGATATTTTTTTTTCACTGCATGTTCAATATTCGTTTGAAACAAATATTGTTCATAATTTAAGAGTGGAATATTTTTAATCGCACGAGAAAGCTATAAATAATGCCATTAAAAGCAAATGGGTGCGAGAGTACAGACTAACATCGTTATTAAATAGTCTCTATTCATCATACTTTGTAACCTTAAGAAAGGGGGGCAAACTAATACTCATTGCATTATGTTGTATTTTACTGCACAAAAATTAAAAATAATACTTTAAATAATTTAAGGGATGCATAATAAAAATGCATTCAACGTTCTGAATGCAGTAAAATTTGTACTTCGAGTCCCTGTTAACTTTTAATTCTCAAGCTTTTCGACAGAGAAATGCTGCCATCTGCTGACGACTTTTGATAACTGCAGCTTATTCACCGCCTCCTTATCCTTCCCTTCTAATTGGCTGTCGCCCCTACGAGTCCTTGGAGAGGTCAAAAATAATGATAACGAAATTTACCGGAGAGTCGCTGTGGTTTTGAGATATACAGTTTAGTCGATCACATTTCTCTTGTTGGCTTATCCAGTCCAGCACCGAGACCTTTTTTTTTCAGGTGCTCATTCAGCTAGCTAGCACAGCTAGCCTCAGCAGCTGGTGGCTATGGCTGCAGTTATTTTAAGTTTCCCAACTCTGCAGGGCCTGCGGATATTCACGCAGTGAGTACCTAAGAGCACTGAAGGGCTGTTTTGTCTTGTAGAGGGTTCGACAATTAGCGCACTCATTTTTAACGATAGCTTACAGGTGTCAATTTGGGAGGCTATCTAATGTTATTCTCCGAGCTAAGCACACGGCGCTAGCATTAAGCCTGTGGACACGACTTCTGACCTGCAGAAAATGTTATTTGCATTCAACACCGAGACTCTGTCCTGATATATATGAGAATGGACCAAGGTTAAATGGCTAGCAAATTGTCTGCTAGCGTTGCTAATGGTGCTAGCACAACATAGCACAACATATTTGTGGGAGCAACCTCGCATGCTGTCTAACTAGCTCAAATTAGCTTGGAGTTTGTTTCTGACTGCAATGTGTTTCTTGAATGCGTATTGTGATGAACTGCCTGTGCCACTGCTGTGTTGCTCTAGCAGCAGCTCAGCCTATGTAGTATCGAGTGGTGCTGAAGTTGTTATTTCTGTCTCTCCACAGGAAGCTGTCATGGAGCACGAGAGGCGTGAGGCTTGTTTCAGGAGGTGAGGAAGCATAAATATACATGCAAAACTTCCAAATGATTGAGTAACCACTAAGAGTGATGCAAAAAGTCCAAAAATCACATGCACTACACAGAAAAGCAACATGCAGCCATTTCAGGAGCTGATGGTGTTCAGAATGTTTGTTTGATTAATCTCTGAACTGATCTTGTTCCAATTTTACAAATACTGACTTGCACACACTGTACGTCCAAGTCCTTCACCTTGCTGAGGTTGTTTGGAGCAGTGATGTTTGTCTTTTCCAGGGGTGAGAAGGATAGAAAAGGTGCTGATTGCCAATCGAGGAGAGATTGCATGCCGTGTGATGCGTTCAGCCAAGAAGATGGGTGTACGCTCAGTGGCGGTGTACAGTGATGCAGACACACACTCCATGCATGTAGCTATGGTGAGACACTGGATCCTTTTACTTTATAAGAAGTAGTTGTTTATAATTTCCTGAAGCTGCCTTTAATTGATAAAATATGACATTGTTTTTGTTTTTTAAACCTGTATTTGCTTTGTTATTATTCAAGGCAGATGAAGCCTACCATATTGGCCCTGCACCCTCCCAGCAGAGTTACCTCTCTATGGACAAAGTTTTGGAAGTGGCCAAAAAATCTGGATCACACGTAAGGAATTCTTTTCATTATAGTATTTAGCCTTCTTTAATCACTTATGTCTGATTTCTGTGTTGTAACCGTTTTTTGTGTTTCCTTTTTAAATCTACTTATTTGCTGCTGACATTTTGTATCTGCAGGCGGTCCATCCTGGCTATGGTTTTTTGTCAGAAAACACAGAGTTTGCTGAGGCATGTAAACAGGAAGGAATCATCTTTATTGGGCCTCCCTCATCTGCCATCAGAGATATGGGCATTAAAAGGTTTGGTCTCTTTGCTGTAACCCAAATTTATAGGAAAGATAAATAATAACCATGTGTTTCAACTCATGTGTTTTATTTTACTTTGTTTTTCAGCACATCCAAGCATATCATGTCAGCTGCTGGCGTGCCAATTATAGGTGGCTACCATGGAGAGGACCAATCTAATGAGAAGTTGCAGGCAGAGGCTGTCCAGATTGGATACCCTGTGATGATCAAAGCAGTTCGTGGAGGAGGGGGGAAGGTGAGAGGATGCATCAAGTCAAGCTTTTGTCCAATCCTGGCAGATTAGCTGATCTCAGTGCCAGCCTTTATCAGCTGATACACGTCAACACCGTGACAGATTGACATTAAGTTGGGCCCAGAACAGAGTTATGCTTTGAGTTAGTCAGGGTCTTTAAACTCTTGCCACCCTAACTCATCTGTCTTTAAAATTTTGCAGGGCATGCGTATTGCACGCTCAGACTCTGACTTCTTGGAGCAGTTGGAGTCAGCACGGAGGGAAGCCAGAAAATCCTTCAATGATGATGTCATGCTGATCGAGAAGTTCGTGGAGGACCCCAGGTAACACATTTAACTGTTAACTAGGCAGTTTTCAGCACCACCGTGTGGCCAAAATGTTGTCTTGTTTTTGTGATGGAGAGGTAGGGCTGTGACTAAAGATGATTTTGGTAGTCGACTAATTTGCCAGTTCTTCTTTGATTAGTCAACAACAGTTTTAATAACTGTGAACTCCACTTCCTGTGGGCTAACCTCCTGTTCTAGGCTCCGCCTGCTCAAGTCTACCCACCTGTAAATATCACTCTGTTGTCTCGTCCTACCACAGCAAATTAGAATAATGACCCAGGAAACATGAATTTGAAAATAATCAAATGTGTTTTAAAATAACTCAAAAGGACCATCAGAATAAAAATGAAATAAGTAAAAATATTTGGGAATGCAAATTAAATTGCTAGTAGTATTTAACAAATATGCCTTCTGTCCATAAGTTCGAATAAAGCTTCAAATTAAATCACAATAATTTTTTTACTCAGTCTGAAATCAGAAGTTTTCAGAGTTTAGAGATGATTCAGTTTATGAATTTATGATTGCACATGCTCTCATGTTTGATATGTTGTTCCCAGCTGCAGATGATAACCAGGCTGACATGACTGTACATGAACCTCTTCACAGGACAAACTCATCTATGCGCATGTGCTTAATACTAGTAAAACAGAATTAGAAAAGACAGTTACTAATCAAAAATGTGGTTGTATGTCATAGTTTCTTGGTTGATGCACGGTTCAACTGTTTATAGACACAATTAATTGATATTGACCCACAGATTAACTACCTGACGTTAGGTGGAAGAGGGGGAAAAAAAGTAGCAGACAGTGAGTTTCCGACAGATAAGCTATTATAGAATAGAAATATCCTTTTTTGTCCCTCACTGGGGATATTCACGATAACATAAAGGTTACTGGACAATCATTAACATAAACAAGGTATCAACAAGATGCACTAGTGTAACTCCCCAGACTGACCCATTCAGAGTTGACGTCATAGCTCCAGGGTGCCATCGCTTTAAATGCTGGTGCTCTGCAGTAGTGCTGTCGTGCTCAGCTGCGCAGTCTGCATTCAACTTTGTTTTCTGTGAAATGCTTTCACATTCTTTTAAACTGTGAAAGCATTTAAAAAAAAAACGTTTTCTTCCATCCTCCTGTTTTGTCTTTCTGCTATGTTCTTCTTCATTAGTATCAAGTGCCGTCGGCAGAGGCTATGTACTGTTCTCATAGATTTCTGTAGTGTATTGCATAGGGATGGGTATTGATAATATTTTCACGATTCAGATTCCATTTTCGATTCTGTTTAACAATTCGATTCTTTATCGATTCTTTTTAAAAAGGAGAACACTAAGGTCGATCAGCTTAGAACTGTGTTTTATATCTTCTCTTTGAACAAGATAGAAATTTACGAGTAACATGGCCTTACAAACCCAGCAGTGAGATCTTAAGAGATCTACAGCCTACGGCTCTTCAATGGGGTGTCACAGGGTCCCCGGGGAAAAAAATTGTAAAATAAAATAAATATTCTTCTGTAGCAATAACAAAGTATAACATCAATTATTCTGTAGCAATTACACAAGAATATCCAGTAATGTCCCTGCCTACAATTAAACACATTCACTTACCGTAAATCGGGGGCATCTGCTGTGGCAAATGGGTGCAAGGCTTTTACTACAAACTTAGTCACTGCACGGTGACATTCGTCTATCCTGGCCTGAAAGGAGACGCTACCGGTAGACTGCAGCGAGAACTGCCAGCATCTGAGCCAGACTGTCTGTCTCATCATGGTCACCTAAATGCACAGTAATGGGAGGTTTTGTAATAAGGCAGCTCGCGCTAACATAATATGCACTGTTAGTTGATTATTTACCTGCCGCATTAACGGGAGAGGACGTGCAAACGTTACCGCTGCTGCTGGGTTGAGATTCACAAGTCCGGATCGGAATTAAAAACACGACATTCATTTAAGGTTATCGTGTGTTTTGTGAGCAAATGCTTTTGCATATTCGTAGTGTTTCCTCCCTTAATGAAATATCTACTTGCCCTGTTGTCATCGGTTCTCGTAAAGTATGACCAAACTTTTGAGCGTTTGAGCCGCCATGTTTCCTGCCAGGTGAATGACGCTCCGCAACGTGGTGACGTCATTCGGGGCGACTGGAATCGATAAGGGAATCGTTTGCAAAAATGGTAAACAATTCCAAGGAACTGAAACAGTGAGAATCGGTTCTCAACAAGAACAGATTTCGATAACCATCCCTAGTATTGCAGTTTTAAAAACAAATTTACGTGGTTATAGAATATGATGAGTCAACAGTAAAATTCCATGTTGACAAGTTTTTATAGTTCTCATATTCCTGTGTCCTGAAGACATGTGGAGGTCCAGGTGTTTGGGGACATGCATGGCAATGCCGTCTATCTGTTTGAGAGGGACTGCAGCGTTCAAAGGAGACATCAGAAGATCATAGAGGAAGCACCAGGGGTAAGTGAGTGATAAAGTTTGAACAAAGTTAAGGAGAAAGAATACATTTGGATCAACACATCTAACTGAAATGATCTTGGCCTGAGGTTAACCTCGTGATAGGTCCATCGGCTATTTCTGGAAAAATAATTCTTCTTGTTTTTCCATTTAGTGAAGTAAATAATAACTTGTTTCCCACTTAAATGAACATGTTTCTGTGTTTTGTGGCATTTTTTTTCAGCCTGGTATAAGCCCTGAAGTGAGGAGAAAACTCGGAGAAGCAGCGGTTAGAGCAGCCAAGGCTGTCAACTATGTTGGAGCAGGTAAAACACTCCCTCTCCTGCATTCATCGCACCAGAGTGATCCAGACTCACAGTAAAACAGCTTTTGCACAAGCAGGGAGAAAAAGGGCCATCATTCTGTTTGTCTCTCTGTGCAGGTACGGTGGAGTTCATTATGGATGCCCAGCACAACTTTTATTTCATGGAGATGAACACCAGGTTGCAGGTGGAGCATCCTGTCTCTGAGATGATCACTGGAACTGACCTGGTGGAGTGGCAGCTCAGGGTGAGGAAGGAGGGAGGAAGGGGAGAGCAGAATGTTTTTGAGGTGACAAAATGATTTGTGAAATTCTTTTCCAGGTGGCAGCAGGGGAGCGCTTGCCTCTCCTTCAGGAAGACATAATGCTAAGGGGACACTCATTTGAGGCTCGTATCTATGCTGAAGACCCAAATAATGACTTCCTTCCTGGGGCGGGGCCTCTGCTGCATCTCTCCACTCCCCCACCAGACCAACATACACGTATAGAGACTGGCGTCAGAGAAGGTAGGAGTCAACTATATATACAAATAGGGTAAAGAATAAATTTATTTTTCTTTTTTAGGGTATTAGTTTCTATGCTAAGGGTAGATGTTGTCCTAACGATGGTGGATTGCTCAGTTCTCTCAAGTGTGGTGCCAAAGCTTTAGCTCTGTCCTGGAGCTCCTCACTGCTGAGCCCCACATATTACTGGCCCACAGCATCAGAAATGGGAATCTGTTGCAGTAAGGCACTAATAAAGTTAAATGGTGGGAGCTTTTTATCTGTGTTTGGTTTCAGGGGACGAGGTCTCGGCACATTATGACCCAATGATTGCCAAGTTGGTGGTGTGGGGAGAGGACCGATCTGCTGCCTTAAAAAAGCTGCGGTATTGTTTACGACAGTACAATGTAAGATACAAATGCACACTCTTAAATGATGCTTTGCATGTCGTGCTGCTGATTTTTTTATTTTTAATGAGCACAGGATTTAAATTTTTTTTCATATAGCCACTGTATGTGCGAGCTTCAAAAATTGGTGCCGAACACTTGAAAATGATGTTTTTGCGTCCTGTCTGTTCTTCTGTGCCCTCAGATAGTAGGACTAAACACCAACATAGATTTCCTGCTGAATCTTTCGGGCCACCCAGAGTTCGAGGCTGGAAATGTGAGCACCAGCTTCATCCCCCAGCACTACGCTGAGCTCTTCCCCACTCCGAAAGCACCTTCTGGGGCAACAATCTGTCAGGCAGCCCTCGGCCTGATACTACAGGAGAGGAACCACACACTGGGATTCACCCAGAGCTCCACTGGTGAGGAGACAGAGATGATATTGTTTGGATCAGGACAAATTACAGCTGAAAATCTAAGTCCTGTGCATCTGTGTTTTCCAGATCCTTTCTCCCCATTTGGCTCTAGCTGTGGTTGGAGAAACAACATCCTGTTTAACAGAAATGTGACACTACAGGTGGGAGATAAAAGTAAGTGACAGCCATACTGTGACTCTGTTGCCAGATATTAAATCGCAATGACTGGCAGGTTAATACAAATGTCTGATAGGGTCAGATCATGAATTTCTGAGATTTTATAAGGAAAAGGTCAACCTTACCATGTGTGTCGGTTCTGCAGAAATTCTTTTCTAAACATTATTTAACATCGTAAGTCAGGAGAAGGTTGTGATTTTACTTTTTATTCAGTGTGAAACTAGTGACAGTAATCTGTGATAGCCCACCTAATGGATTCCTTCAAAGGTCTCACTACATTTATTATGAGTCTAGACTGATAGCTAGCCCCCAGCAGTCTGAGCCTGTAGCAGCATAACTAAGGCAAGCCTTCAGGGTCACCTGATCTAGCCCTAACTGTGCGCTTTATTAAAAAACGAATGGATTGAGTCTAATTTTAAAAATAAAGGGTGTCTTCCACAGACTGGGTCCACAGGACAGGTGCCTGCTTCCCTTTGTACTTTTAGAAACTCTAGGAACCGCAAGTAAGCTTGCAGTCTGAGAGCAAAGTGCTCTGTTTGGACACTATGGTACTTGGACTTAGGCTGTTAAGATATGGTGGGGCCTGATTATTGACATGATTTTAAATGTAATTGTGGATTTTTCTTGGAGCCAATGAAGAAAAGGTAATATGGGGGAAACCCGATCTCTTTCTAATCCCCGTTTGTACTCTTACCTGTTATGTTCTTTTAGAAGAAGCCATCCAGAGTAAAATTCTGGTTGGATATCATGTTTTTAAAATATTTGGGGCCAAATACAGTATCCTCAATTTTATCTGAATTTAGAAGAAAATACAGGTGAGCCAGGGTTTTATGTCTTTAACATACGCTTGTAATTTAATTATTCTTTTAATAAGGTTTCACAGATAAAGCTGGGTATCATCTGTGTAGCAATGCAAATGTGTGCAGTGTTTTCTCACTGACTTCTGTGTGTCAGGAGGAGTCCTTGTGTACATGACGTGAAGCACACTTAGGTCCATATACTCACTGACAAGTTTAGGGTTTGTTTTTTTTTTCCCCCTTTTTACTGAAACATATTCTAATTATAGTTATACAGTAGACATGGACATAATATGTAGACTCTCCGTTTTCATTTGGGGGTATCCACATTCAAACTGGATGAAGTGTTTAGGAGTTTCAGCTCCTTAATATGTGCAAGCCTCTTTTTAAAGTAATTGAACAGTGGGGTCACAAGGCTATTTCATGGGCAGGTGTGGGCAATTCCTTCCTTATGTCAACATCAATTAAGCTGCAATGAAAGCTGCTGCAGTAAAGACTTGACAGAGTATTAAAAAGGAGGAAACCAAGCATCTGTTGAAGTCCATGAGTTCAGGACTTATTTTCAGTTATTTAATTTGTTCAGTTACTTTTGAGCCCCTTAAAAGAAAGAAATTATGTTTAAAAATTGCTTTAGTTCCTCAGATTTTTTTTATGCAATCTTTTTGTTTAACCCATTGAATTATTGGTAATTAGTTGCGATGTACAGAACCAAAATTAGTAAATGTTATCTCTGTCCAAATATTTATGAACCTAACTGTAGTTACTGTAGATGCAATTCAAAGCAGTGCAGCATGTTTCCTTTAACACTAACAGCATAGTCTAGACTAGTCTAGTAAAAGGTTGTCATCAGAGGTGTCAAGTGCTGCACTGAGGTGTTTCTGCTGTCAGAGGCCACAGGAAGAAGCTGCTTCTGTGCTGTGATGAGCTCTGAAACCTGACTGAAACTCGCGCCTCTGCAGATGGTCTGTTAGCTGCTTGACAACTACTCTTTCAAGGATTTTTGAGATAAAGGGAAGGTTGGACATTGGCCTGTAATTAGCTAACACAGCTGGATCACGTGATGACTTTTTAAGTAATGGTTTAACTACTACCAGCCTAAAGGCCTGTGGTACATAAAAGGTGAATGTAAATTAGTCACATTTAATTAATGGTGAAATTTCTTTGAGTCTTGTAGGAGTGGGGTCTGAAAGTCAAGGAGTAGTTATTAAAAGTCAACTCTGAAAGATCGACAACAGTTATTAATTAGTTCTTGGCTCAACAGAGATCTGGATTTTATATTTGCAGAAATGCATATATGTGCTCCACATGTGGGCATGGATACACACTGGTTCAGACTGGGGGCATGTAAGCATGAACATCTTTGTCCGGTTTCCCTTATTTAACAGAACTTTTAAGCTTTTCAATTATTTATGATCATTAGATTAAACAAAGATCTGTGTTTAAATGTGTGTGCAAGTAAATGGAAATCTAATCAACAAAACTGATATAAAAAGAGTGATTTTTATTAGTGATGCTAGTGGCTTTCTTTTTGCTTCTGATTCGTCTTTATGCAGTTGATACAGATACACGTGTATAAGCATGTGCGTGTGGTGACTTCAGGCTATGGGTTTTAGTCACTGGACTGTTTTTGGAGGTTTTAAATCTAAAGAACGACAGGAATGAATGAAATTGTAGAAATGTGTTAATTTGTAGTCGAGGACAGTTGGGACTGACTCATAATCCGATTTAATGATTGTGTAAAAAAATTAAATTAAAGCCTGTCTGGTCTGTGACACATTACTAAGGAACTTGTATTCATTATTCAGTGTTTCTATTAAAAAGTGTCACCGAAAAGCTAAAAATAAAGCAGGCAGCAGCAGCTGAGGGACGTACAGTGGGGCAAAAAAGTATTTAGTCAGCCACCGATTGTGCAAGTTCCCCCACCTAAAATGATGACAGAGGTCAGTAATTTGCACCAGAGGTACACTTCAACTGTGAGAGACAGAATGTGAAAAAAAAATCCATGAATCCACATGGTAGGATTTGTAAAGAATTTATTCGTAAATCAGGGTGGAAAATAAGTATTTGGTCAATAACAAAAATACAACTCAATACTTTGTAACATAACCTTTGTTGGCAATAACAGAGGTCAAACGTTTACTATAGGTCTTTACCAGGTTTGCACACACAGTAGCTGGTATTTTGGCCCATTCCTCCATGCAGATCTTCTCGAGAGCAGTGATGTTTTGGGGCTGTCGCCGAGCAACACGGACTTTCAACTCCCGCCACAGATTTTCTATGGGGTTGAGGTCTGGAGACTGGCTAGGCCACTCCAGGACTTTCAAATGCTTCTTACGGAGCCACTCCTTTGTTGCCCGGGCGGTGTGTTTTGGATCATTGTCATGTTGGAAGACCCAGCCTCGTTTCATCTTCAAAGTTCTCACTGATGGAAGGTGGTTTTGGCTCAAAATCTCACGATACATGGCCCCATTCATTCTGTCCTTAACACGGATCAGTCGTCCTGTCCCCTTGGCAGAAAAACAGCCCCATAGCATGATGTTTCCACCCCCATGCTTCACAGTAGGTATGGTGTTCTTGGGATGCACCTCAGTATTCTTCTTCCTCCAAACACGACGAGTTGAGTTTATACCAAAAAGTTCTACTTTGGTTTCATCTGACCACATGACATTCTCCCAATCCTCTGCTGTATCATCCATGTGCTCTCTGGCAAACTTCAGACGGGCCTGGACATGCACTGGCTTCAGCAGCGGAACACGTCTGGCACTGCGGGATTTGATTCCCTGCCGTTGTAGTGTGTTACTGATGGTGACCTTTGTTACTTTGGTCCCAGCTCTCTGCAGGTCATTCACCAGGTCCCCCCGTGTGGTTCTGGGATCTTTGCTCACCGTTCTCATGATCATTTTGACCCCACGGGATGAGATCTTGCGTGGAGCCCCAGATCGAGGGAGATTATCAGTGGTCTTGTATGTCTTCCATTTTCTGATGATTGCTCCCACAGTTGATTTTTTCACACCAAGCTGCTTGCCTATTGTAGATTCACTCTTCCCAGTCTGGTGCAGGTCTACAATACTTTTCCTGGTGTCCTTCGAAAGCTCTTTGGTCTTGGCCATGGCGGAGTTTGGAGTCTGACTGTTTGAGGCTGTGGACAGGTGTCTTTTATACAGATGATGAGTTCAAACAGGTGCCATTCATACAGGTAACGAGTGGGGGACAGAAAAGCTTCTTACAGAAGACGTTACAGGTCTGTGAGAGCCAGAGATTTTCCTTGTTTGAGGTGACCAAATACTTATGGGCGATCGTGGCTCAAGAGTTGGGAGTTCGCCTTGTAATCGGAAGGTTGCCGGTTCGAGCCCCGGCTTGGACAGTCTCGGTCGTTGTGTCCTTGGGCAAGACACTTCACCCGTTGCCTACTGGTGGTGGTCAGAGGGCCCGGTGGCGCCAGTGTCCGGCAGCCTCGCCTCTGTCAGTGCGCCCCAGGGTGGCTGTGGCTACAATGTAGCTTACCATCACCAGTGTGTGAATGTGTGCGTGAATGGGTGGATGACTGGATATGTAAAGCGCTTTGGGGTCTCTAGGGACTAGAAAAGCGCTATATAAATACAGGCCATTTACCATTTATTTTCCACCCTAATTTACGAATAAATTCTTTACAAATCCTACCATGTGAATTCATGGATTTTTTTTTTTTCACATTCTGTCTCTCACAGTTGAAGTGTACCTCTGGTGCAAATTACTGACCTCTGTCATCATTTTAGGTGGGGGAACTTGCACAATCAGTGGCTGACTGAATACTTTTTTGCCCCACTGTATTTAACTAAAGACTTTGTGTCAGTCTCTCCCGCCTCTATCTCAAGACTGTTTTTAACACTTTTGTTTTGTTTTTTTCCATCTAGAAGTTGATGTGGTCATCATGTACAACCAGGATGGGAGCTACAGTATGCAGGTGAGCTGAGAAAGTTAACTTTTTTTTGCTACAAATACTTAATTCTGTTTTATAATCTGTATATTTTGGGTATTTATTAAAAGTTTTCTTTTTCCAAATTTGTAAATAACAATAGTACAATGTGGGATGTCGGTGCTTAAACAAACCCAGGTTACTTCCCACAAATGCATCACTTCTGCTTTCTTTTTAGATTGGTGACGAGGTGAATCACGTCACAGGGGAGGTGGAGATGGAAGGCGGGGCATCGTTCCTGCACTGTACTGTCAATGGCGTCGAGTCCCGCCCTAAACTTGTGATCCTGGACAACACGGTGCACCTGTTCTCCACTGTATGTATCTGACATGCACAGTATACAGATTTCTATTTTGCATATTCCTCAAAACCACTGAAATCCAAGTTATCATCTATCATGTTGCTTGCAGTGTCTTCTATGCAAAACTCTTTGATGTTTGGTGACTGATGGCCCAAACAAGGCTTAAATGTTTCCCAAACATAGAAAAGTGACTTAAACAGAAGTGGAGGAAAAAGTGGCCTTTTTAACCTTTTTTTTTTTTTTTTTTTTTTTGCCTATGCAAAAGCTCCTTCTGGAGGTTCAAAGATGTTTTCGTCTCACCTGTCGCCGCGCAAACTGTCTCTGTTTCCACTCTGACATCACTCTGACAGTCTGACATCAGGGGGAATTAAAAACCTGTTTCGGTCCTCTCACCTCAGCTGTCAGCGAGCTGTCACTGCACTTTCTGACGTCTTTACCTCTGCGCTGCAGGAGGGAAGCTCTCAGGTGTCTGTTCCCGTGCCAAAGTATCGGGCTGGTGTTGGCGGTTCAGGAGCTCAGGGTGGAGCCGTGGCCCCCATGACTGGAACTATAGAGAAGGTGACTTTTTCTTTTGCGTAAAGGATATTCGTGTTTTTCTAAAGTTTACTTTTAAAGTTCAATTTGAAGTTTTAATAGTTTTTTGTGAGGGTAAAAAGCTGTCCAGTAAAGTTTCTTTACCAGTTAAAATGCAGTCTTAGTCAATTTCAAGCTGAAGAGCTTATGTATATAATTTTAGACGTAACAGTCAGACAATCCACTCTGAATATGTCAGTGCTGAACCAGTATGACACGAGATGTCCTAATATGTGGAAATGACACACACAGTGCGGATGAAAAATTCCATACAACTCTTATTTTGTTCTTCAGCTTTATTTTGTATCTGGACACATAAAAATACATAAATCACAGCCACTATTCTGACATCAGTAACCCAAAGTCCATGACATAATTTCCTTAGGGATAAATAAAGGATTCTGATTGATGAATGGAGCCTAAGGCCACAAACTCCATCCAGTCAGGGTACAAAAGTTTGGCATTTTAGGAAATATGCTGACCTTTTTCTGTTCTTTTTGCTGATTATTAGCTAAAAGATCGATGCCACTGTCATGGCTGTGAGGATAAATGTTGAGCCAGTAAGTGGTTTAGACCTTAGTACTTTCTGGTATTTAAAAAACAGACCCACATCTACTGTACGGGTGCCTTTTAGGCTTATTACTATAATTAGACAGCTGTAAGACATAAAGGTTCAGTCTGTTTATTATTAGCTTTACATGCTTCAGAGGGTGAATATTTCCTAGTCCTGATGGTAAGTGATCCCACCAATAGTATCAGTCTGTTTAGCTTAATTTTGATAGGAAAATAATCACATTTCTATTTTGGTATGTTTTTATCTGGGACTCTGCTAGAATATCTTTGCATGATCCATAGTTTGGAGCTCTTATACATCTTTCTGGGCCTTGGTATATCTCTTTAGTTCATCCACTGTTTGAAAAAGTAGCTTTAGCTTCTTTTGATTGGCTGCTGCTTGAACAGCATCAGCATGTAATCATGTACAGCAGAAAATAAGGACAATCATAGTTTGTGCCCCAGTTTTTCTTCAACTCGTAACAAGGTAACAAATAAACTTTGCTTAATGTTGTCAGCTTCTTTTAACACCTGCTGTAAATCAGCAGACAACAAAATGTCTCTGCTTCATGCCTCCAGTTAACTCGCTGCTCAGACAGATGCAAATGCTGCTTAACAACAAGTTAAGCAACTGGTGATGACTGGAGAGTGATAGTAAATCCCTCTGCCTTGTTTATTACATTTATGGGGACATGTCTGGGTGTATCACTGCTTCCCTCAAATCCACTAGCAGCCGGAGGAATGAGACTGTGGAGGAGGCATGAAGGAAGAAGTCATAATACTGTGTGTGTTACTTCTTTTTTATTTCTGAGTGACATTATTGGTTTGGTTTTATTGTATTGAACGAGTGAACGAGTCTCTTTTCCTGTGTCCAGGTGCTGGTGAAGGCCGGAGATAAGGTGACTGTGGGAGACCCACTGATGGTCATGATAGCCATGAAGATGGAGGTGAGGCACTGATGATTCTTGCCTTTTAGCCGGTGTACACACACTGCTGAGTTTCTAATGATGTCACCTCTTGTATTTGCCTCTGCAGCATACGATCCGGGCGCCAAAGTCAGGTGTGATCAAGAAGGTTCTCTTCAGCGAGGGCTCTCAGGCCAACCGCCACGCTCCTCTGGTTGAGCTGGTGGAGGAGGAAGAGCAGGTGGAGGGAGGCAGCCAGTAAATGCATCAAAGCCACAGTTACACTATAAGGTAGAAGAGGGCTAGCACGTGTAAGAGCTGGAGGGAAAGCTACTCAGTGTGAGCCAGTTTTGGCCTCCCGCAGGATTTAAATCATCTGTTCGACAAAGAGTTTGGGTCAGTCTGAGACAGATGTGGCAGCCGCGTGTTTGCTGGATGTCTTCCTGCTAGAACTTCTATCATGTACAGCGGCTCTTTTTACTCAGCAATTCTTGCCTACATGTCAGCATTTCTCAAAGTTTCGGGGGTCATGAAACCACCGCAGTGGGGGTGTGGATGACCATCGGGGAAATATACAGTCTGCAGTGCAGCAAGTGTGATTTACGCAGAGAGAACAAACAAGTGTTTTATTCCACTAGAAGCTGATCTGGATTCGTCTTCATCGGCAGATCCATATTCTCTTTCTGCTGTCAGTGAATAATCTCTCCTTTCAGTTTTGGTCGGCATCAGGCTTGTCGGAGGTGCAGTGATGGTTAAACCTGGCGAAATCCTGTCTTTGTGTTAGACTGAGTCCTGCCTTTAGTTTCTTTACTGTTTGTGTATTTAAACAATTTCTAGATGAGAAATGAAACTTTTTTTCTATCAAGTACTGTCTGAAGGATTCTTGAAGAAAGTAGGGTTACAACAGAATAATCATCAGTAATTCTAAAAAATGTTGATTTTCAAAATGTATCTGATTATTTACCACATAAATATCTTTGCTGGGGATTTCTATTGATCTTTAATTGTAATTAAGATGAAAACTAATGAATGAGCAAGGAAAAAAGGCAGTTTGAACATTAGACACAGGCTAGGGGGTTGATTGCAACGCCACAGAGACCCGTCTATGTCTACAGCTCTCAGTGGCATTTTGGTCACGTTTAGGAAAGAAACGCCTTACTGTAGCAACAAGAGAGTGGGGAGCTTTTCTCTTGAATTTCTGCTCTCGCATTCTCGCCATCGCAGCAGATTAAACCCTCCTAACTTTGACAAGCTCATGTCAGGGCACATTAACAGCTTTCTCATTAATGGCTTAAACTCCTCTGAGGAGGCTTGTTACAAGCGCCGACTTATACAGTTGCTGCTGAGTCATCAAACACGTGTCGGTTCCCTGAATTGGCACCAAAAGCTACCACTCCTCGAGCCAGATTACTCTTTGATCAGAGGCTCTTTGCTTCAGTCTGGGCTTTTCAGGGAGGGGTGAAAGAGCATCGCTGTACAGGAAAGGTTGCGTCAAGTTGACAACGTGAGCACAAGTTGTTTTTATTAATTAGAATCTGGCCACTCTGTGCTTCCAGACTGACTCCAAACTCTCCATTATTCACACTCACAATACCTCTCTGTCACAGTTAAAACAAAAAACCACAGGTCTCCTTTAACCCTCCACTCTGCTGCTGCAAGCACTCCAGAGTGCATTCTGTGACGAGTCAGTCTCATGTGCAGCATTTCTGCACGCACTTGTCTCTCGGTTCAGAGTAGCTCCTGAAGGATGAAATGTCAGTCACGGAGAGATTTTGGCGGACAGATGGTTTGCATCCGCGTAAATCCAGTGAGGGAGTGATCTGCCACAGACACGGTGGTGAAGTGGATCGCTCTCTTCTCACCAACCGGTGTGCTTTGAGATCTTGTAGACTAAAACTGTCAGTATGAACACATTTCCTGGATTGTTTGTAGGTGTAAAATAATAAACTAGTCAAATTCTGTAATAAATTTTTTTTAAAGTGTAAACTGTCCCGTGTCGTCACTGATGTGTTTGTGGCTGTCGTGTCCTGGCGTCGCCTCCCTCAGAGCTCAGTGTGACTAATGGGAACAGCTGCGCGCCTGTGCCGAGCCCTAAATGCTGTGTGACGGGATGTGAAAATGCCTGCTTCACCGAGGATCTTAACTTCATCCACGCGACTGTGACTCGGGCTTCACGCTCCGTGAGCATCGCTGCCTCACGCTGGAAACTGCTGAGACTGTCCACGTGCACCTGCTTTTACAGGTGCAGCCACTGCAGCACTTCTCACTCGCTGAAACTGTTTGTTCAACACACTCCGTTAAGCTTGTTAAGCCTGTTAAACACAGAACAGCCGGAAACTTAAAGGCGTGTGTTTGTGCTCACAATAAAGGAAATGGGTTGGTGACTACCTCGTGCCAGTTCCTGTTCATACATTGTTTAAATCATGGTGATCTCACTCAGTGTGGGCCCCTGTATTTTGAAGCTTCAGTGCTGGCGCTTGTTTTTGATGCTAGGATGGTTTGCTACATTCTCAGCTAACCTACTTAGCTTGGTTAGAAGACTGGTATTTATAAACTAAGAACCAATTGGTGTTAAGCAATGAACCAGAGCACTTCTGAAATGATCTGTACTACTAATACACTCCAACAGCATGGATGCACACATATAAGAGGTCCAGTGTGGTGATTCATAGCAGACCAGGTCTAGCAGGCATTATTTGGGACAAACTGTCAATCAGTAGGACCACACCCCTGTCAGTAAGGGTTAGGGTTGTAGATACCACAGTACGGCTTCAAGGGTCTAGTGGAGTCCATGCCTTAGTTTTGAGAACAAAAGGGGCGTAGAGTGTAGCTTACTAGGATGTGACATGAGGACATGAACACTAACTGAAAGGTTGCACTAAACTCTGGTTTTCTGCCTAAAAATTCTCACACTGAGGGAATTTCTTTTTACGACTGCAGCACTTCACATTATTGATGAAAGCAATAAAAATGGACAGTATCCCAGCATGTTCATGGATCTTCATGTAGGTGGAGTCTGTGTTCATTCCTCTCAGCTATGTGCTGCACTTCTTGTGCCGCCTCTCCCTCATTAACTCCATGGAGCGTTATCAGTGGTAAGCTGCTCCACTTGCCTTTGGTGAGGGTCCAACTTCCAACGACTGTTTTTAAATGAGTGGAGGCCACAGACCAGTTTCTTTAAAAATGTTTTTATTTCGTAAATAGAACAGCATCTTCAGCTATAAGACAGGTTTACAGACAGTAGAGGACAGACAATCAGCATCAGATAACAGAAGAAATTATGTAGTAATGCTCAGGTGCAGCACGACTTACTGATGAGGGAACAAACATGAAGTCAAACTGAGCGCTGACATGCATCCCCGCATCTTTCTGATGGGCTCCGAGTGACAGGCTGCACGACACTGGCAGCTGACATTTCAATCTGAACTCCCTCTATTTACGATCAGGGGTTTTGTAACTTCATGCAAGTCTGCAAACTTTTATTTTGAAAGAGCACCTTGGCACTGAAGTCATCAGCCTCCAGCTCTGATCTTACTTTTCAACTTAAACAAGTGGTTTGATCTTTAGTACCAATTTCCACTCATGCTCATGCCTCAGTGGATGGACATGACCAGTATTCCTGACGGCATTTGTTCTCATTTGGACGTGAAGATCACGGGGGCTTGAGGCGCGATGAAATATTAAGTCACCACTCTGAGTTATGTGACTGAGTAATCATCTGCTTCTACAAAACCCCTCCAGGCCTTGTATCTGAACTCAGATACAAGGCCTCCAGATGACGTCAGTGCTGCAGCGCTTTATAGGATCTGGTCCGTGTTTTCACACAAGCTCTTTTCACGGCTGTTTGGAACCCCGGGCACAAAACAGCCGTGAAAAGATCACTTTGGTGCCACTTAGTAGTGGATTACATTAATTAAAAACATTTCCAGCCGTCACAGCTGTGGTGGAGTGTGGAGAATAAATTTCGAACTGTTATTACTTTTGTTTCAGTCTAACAGAGACTGTTATGTAATCAACTCTGCTACTTTGAAAAGGGAGGCTGTTTTGGAGCCACGTAACCACCACCTCCAACATGTGACACCATTATTTTGGACACTACTGGTGTCCACATTGAGCACAAGGGGGCATCAGAACCACACTGACACTGCAGGTGTTTTGGGCTTTGTGTGACTTGCCTTTGGTCAGGAAGGACTCGCGTTTCCTCCTCCTGTCATCTGCTCAAAAATATCATGCAGAGACTCTGCAGTGTGCAGTGCCGATGCCCCCAAACACCGAGCTCAGTGGTCGCTCTGTTATCTGGGTTGATGTGGTGTCGGGAGGTGGGGTCAGTGATGACATCACCCGACCTTTTAGCAGACTCATATCGTGACAATGATGATTATTGCTTCACACGAGTGTACGGGTTCAACCTGAACAAAAACGAATGTCGTAACATCACCCACGCGGCTACCTCAGCTCGCTGTGATGTGGGCCGTTTCCCCAGCATTAGAGGACTTTATTACGTCTATTTTAAAACATCAGTCATGTGCTAGTGTGTGTAGCAAACAATGTTTCAAGTTGTGATGTGCACTGGCTCTTACAAGATCTCACACAGAGGGAATGTTTTGACATGAGATCAACTGAATGCGTGTTACAGGAGGAGGTTCGTGGAGCTGGAAAGAGGTGGAGGGTCAGGGAAAAGATGCCGCTGTGCGAGGCGCCAAGTGTTTTTAAAGCCATCTTCTAGTTTAAAAAAAGGAAACTAAAAGAAATCAGCGTATTTTAGTCCCTTTTTTAAAAAGGTATTAAAGGGATGATGGTGAATCAAACATCCACATTGAGTTCAAAAAGCAGCCAGACAAGGAGTCCCAGTAAAACACTGCAGAGGCATGGATATCCAGGCTTAAAGTGGTTCCTACAGCTCCCATAATGCAACTTGCTCTGCTGGTTACATCCTGGTCTTTCCAGCTCCACGCTCAGAAATCATGACTAAGACTTTCTGTTAAATCAAGATCAAGTTTAACACAAACACGCACACATGGTGGAATAACACAACTGTGTTCACAGAAACTTTGTAATCTATTGAATACTTCTATAAAACTGCATTAAGTTATAGTTTCCTTTATCCACACACACACACACACACACACACACACCTCCAACAGCAGGTGGAGACAAACACACATGGGGGGGGGGTAATAAAATAACAATGTAACAGCAAAAAATGTGATTCAAATGGTTTCAGATGTGAACGGTGACAATGACTTTTCCCAATGAAAAAAAGAAAAAGAAAGAAAGAAACCCAACAAAATAATTTTGATATGTGATTTGTGCAAATGCTCTGCTTTTCCTTTCCCCTCTGAACTTTAACACATTCTGCTGTCTTGGGTCGACGTGCATCAGCCACGGTTTGGAAAAGCATCTCACCGTTAAAGCCTCACCAGAAAAAGCATAAATAAAATAATGGTGTCAAATCGGACGTATTTTTAGGCAGCTGACATGGATGACTCTGCCAGACCTCGTGGGCTTTAATGCTGAGATGCTTCTGGTCGCCGGGCTGGGTGACAAAAGGCATTCGAGGAGAACAAATTTAACAACAAGCCCCCACAAGCGTCCATCTGCAGTACCTCCAATAATCTGACCTCTTCAAAAACGTATGGCTTTTTAAAACATTGGGCCTCTTTCACAGTGGTGCACTGGGAGGGGTGGGGGGGACAAAGAGGCCAGAACAGACGACAAAAGCAGCATGAACAACAACAAGTCTCCTTTAACAATATAAGCTTCTGTACAATCAGGCACAAAAAAATAAACACTTTTCCTTTTAAACTCCAGTCGGAATCCTTTTTGGTCTTTGGTACCGCGGTAGAGATGAGGCTTCATGTTCTGGATGCTGCAGGGCTGTGGTGGGAGGTCTGAATGAAGAGTTTTTGTAGCAGTTTATGGAAGCAACAGGATGTTTTGCTACGTATATGATCCTGGCTTGCTGTCGACTTGACAAATCCTCTGGATGCTCACTTTGACACTCGCAGCAAAAAGTGTACTCAGTCAGAAATCGCTGTTTTGACAATGAAAGGGCTCCAGAGGAGTTCACGTGACTAAAAACTGATTTTATGGAGGGTGTTTTCCAGTTTGATGGACTTGCAGATCCGCTGCTAGCAGTAGCAGCAGGAATCCAGGCATTTTACAGCTCAGACACAGACCGGATCTTCAAGCGTACACGTAGCAGCACAAATAGCTCGCACCACATGTTCCATTTCCTTCAGAGTTTTCGCTCCCATCTGACGTTCCTCTCAGCATAGACTCAAACGAGTTCTTTGGATCCTTATCCCATTTGTAGCAGTGCTGCATCCTGCTGGGAATTAACAGAGTTTAAAATGAAATTGTTTCGAAAATGGTGGCTGAGGTTGCGGGGGGTGTGATTATGACTCATAACGGAGCGGTGGCTCTCCCCCCGACCCCCTGTGCTACAGTCAGCGGCCCCGGGAGTCAGCAGTGGGTGGCCTCGATGGGCGACAGCGTCAGGATGCTGCGATCGTTGGAGTACAAGTTCTCCGTGTCGCTCCAAGACCTGAAAACAGGCAGCAGGGTGAGTGACGGTTAGGAGGCTGGCCTAAGTGGGTTTCTGTGTGTGGGTGTAAGAGTGGGGCTGAGCTATCACTAGCTTACACTGCTGTCCACAGGTTGGTGATTACAATCTACACAACCAGGCTGGAAGAAGCAGAGAAGAGTGAGTGATGAGTGAGGTTAGTAATGGTGTGATGGTGTTAGTGAGTATCACAAGTCTCTCCTCAGTAACTCGCACTAATCTTTATCAGCAACGGCCCACAATTTAGAAGTCCTGCACTCAGTGACTGAACCAAAGAAGGCACAACTGTTTACCAAAGCTGTACGGTGGCCCCGAGAGGTCAAACACATTGCAAGAAAACAAACCCCACACACCCTAACAAAGCAAACAGAAGTGTTGTTGGGAGACAAACATGCATCTACAGCATCTATTTTGTCCCTCACAGGAATCCTCTGCTTCTTTTAAGCGTGTCTCGGTGCGTCGCATGTTTTGGTTTCTGTCACTTCCACAGCTGTTCCCCAAAACACTTCTGTGTTTTTTGAGATTTTCTTTCCTACTTCCATTGTATTTTTTCCCACTTCGTTTGCATTTTGTGTGCTTTGCAGTGTTTTTCTAGTTGCTGGTGTTTCTGACCTGTTGGGGTCCCTAATAATGGGATGTTTTCATTAATCTTTTTGTGGCTGTAGCTTTTTACACTATGAAGAGGCGGGGCTCATGAAAAACAAGGTGATGTCACCCATTACTTGTGCCATTTAGAGCGATATTTACTTTAGGATGTTTGTGGTGGGAGCAAACAGCCAATCAAGTACACGTCAGTGTTTGCACCCTTATTGGAGTATTTGCCAATCATCATATCGTGGCTCTCCCATCGAGATTCCAGTGCTGGGAATTGGGGTGATCACTCACAAAGAATAACACCCATGTGGATACGCACCATCAGTCAGTTTTAAAGATGGCACGATCCTGGCTGGAACTGAATTAGATACCAGAATAAAATGCCAAGCCTGACACTCAACATTACAACTAGGGTTCTTCATACAGGTTCATACAGTAGATGTGCTTCTTCTAACAATTGCCTCCAGAAATGTGTTTAAGACAGGTTTAGCTGTTTTCTCCACCTGTGTTTTCCCTTTGAGGAGCTGGGGAGAGACTTGAGCTACTCAACTCATGAGTAGAATCATAAAGAGAAATAAAATTATGAACAAGCATCAGAAACATTCTTTCATTATTTATCAGCTTCAAAATAATCATCAGCATCTGATATCCTGCCTATTAAATATACAACAGCAGGGTGGATTTGCTAGTCTTTAGTACTGAACACAAACACATACAGTGCATAACGTTATATGACTGAGATACAGCCAATTCCCTATTATTAGCTTGGTGAGCTGAGACTCCTTTGGAAATATCTAACAAACAAATCTTCCATACAGTCTCATCCATTTGGTTTATGTGGGACCAGAAAAACATGAACACAGCAAACACTGTTTGAAACGCCTTTAAGTCACAACACACCAACCTCCAATGTGCTGACTCACATCAAAGCTGAACCAGAGTTCACGATCAGAGCTTCCGCCTCAAAGCTCGAGCGAGTAACAGAGAGACCACAGCTCAGCATCCACTGACGTCAAACAGCACCTCCAAGCCTGGCTACCACATCTGAACCTCACATGACGGAACGAGTGACGTCTGAAACGTGTGGACAGCTTTTACAAAAATCAACTGTTTTATGTTGTCCAACTTCAGAGTTGCTGCATCTCTCACCTAACACCCCCCCCAAAAGATGTCAGTAGGTCTACTACTCAAAGTATATCTCTCAACCTTTAGTCTAACACCAACATGAAGACAACTGTTTTTATACCTGCTAAACAGAAGAAAAGAAACTACAGGGGCACCCAGGGACTTTAAATAGACTCATGACTCAAATGGTTTGACTGGGGGCGCTCTCACATGCTGTCACATGCTCAGCTGTCTACTCACAGGCGGGGGGGGGGTTATAGTGAAGCATCTCAGTACTAAAAACCATCGTTGCTCCCTGGGTTACGATGAACTATGTTAACACCTAAAACTGTTTTTTGGGGGGGTTATAAGACGGTGGCAGCGTGAACCCAAGAAGAGGAAAAGAACAAGCAGATTTCTGACAAGACGGCTCACAGGGGACGGTAACAGTACATGAATAATTAATCTGGAAGGTCCAACAACATTATGCAGATTTCAGACACGGAAGGACAAAGACGCACACAGTGAGGACAGAAAAACTGTGTGTGTGTGTGTGTGTGTGTGTGTGTGTGTGTGTGTGTGTGTGTGTGTGTGTGTGTGTGTGTGTAGGCACAGATAGATACATACATGATTATATTGTTTACAAAATACCAAAGGCAACAGCAGCCCCCATGCAACAAGATACACTGGGCATTCATGTTTTTGTTCCTGTAGGGACGATAACTCCACCCAACTGGAACACCATGGGATTTAAAACGAGCACGCCTTCAATCATGGCCTCTTCTCAGAAGCATAATAAGGCTTCAGGATCCGATAGAAAAAGATTGGAGGACGTAGCAGGGAAAAGAGAAAAAAACCCCACCTCAAAACTGAGACTGAGACTACACATCCCAGCAGCCCCTCTGCTGTCCTAAGCAGTCTTTTTCTGTTTAGGAAGTCTTTTTTGTTATAAAACCTGCATTTTTCCCCTAAAACTTCCAGAAAAAAATCCAAATCCACAAATCCAAAAACAAAAAATTTCTGCTTTGTCACTAAAATATTTAACCTTGGCCAGCAACAGGCCAAGTACAGCAGCCAACTGTAACTGGGCTTCCAATAAATATGAGATAAATGCGTCATGTATTATATAAGTACTACATATGCTTGCTATATGTCCCTTCCAGTCATTAAGTATAGAATATAGGAATGGGTGGATATATTCCATTTCCTCTATGGCAGTATCCTAGCATTAAGGCCAAATATTAGCTGGCTCTCACTACCTGTTTAGGCGTTCTTTGCAGTTTCCTGCTTTTTGCCATCACACCCAAAAGGTGAAGAAGAGCGAGAAGAGGAACGTCTAGGTTAGGGAGGAAAATAAACTTGCAGAATCACCTACGAGTTTGTTACTCCACTTTGTTTTTTTGTATTTACAGTATGAAGCACAGCTAGGCAAAGCATTTTCTAGATGTTCATTATTTATTCTTTGGCGAGAACAAACTGGCAGCCATGTCCTTACTTGGAAGAATACGACTGATTGGTTTGTGCCAAGGTCAGAAAACAAAAATCAATCATTCCCACAGGAAGAAATTCATCTAAATTGAATCATGCATTTAGTGGCAGTTTCTCCCTGAAGCAAAGGGGCTTCAGCAAAATGACCCTGACATCAGATCTGCTAAAACATTTCATGGTAGAAACCCCCCCCCCCACGGCTGAGGGAATAATGAAGGGTATAAATATTAAAGCATGGGACCCAATTTATCATCTCACCAGCTGAAGCAAAGTCTAACGTGATCATCTGATGCCAAACCAGAGGTTATTGATTGAAAGATGTAACTGCAGCCAGGAACAATGTCTCTACTAGAGGGCCCGGTGGCGCCAGTGTCCGGCAGCCTCGCCTCTGTCAGTGCGCCCCAGGGTGGCTGTGGCTACAATGTAGCTTGCCATCACCAGTGTGTGAATGTGTGTGTGAATGGGTGGATGACTGGATGTGTAAAGCGCTTTGGGGTCCTTAGGGACTAGTAAAGCGCTATACAAATACAGGCCATTTACTATGAGAATGTTCAAAGAGATTAAAAACAACTTCTTCACATAAGACGTTGTCATTTATTAGTCCCCATGCGGGCTACGGGGAGACCCCTGAATCCCTTATTTGCCCTGCATGCTGTCGTGACCTTTACACACACACACACACACACACACACACACACACCCACACCTTTTAACTCAGTGCGATCAATACTGAGGGTCCCAAGCTGTTTAAACAAATAATGACCGCTCAGCAGAGAGGGCTGATCAGTCGATAAATCGATGACCCCACAGAGTCGCCAGGGTTCGGGTGAAAAGACACAACAGAAGTGAAACTGCAGATTGGGCAGTCCGATAAACTGAAGTTGTTAAAGCTGAAACCCCCCAAAAAACAAACAAACAAAGAGATAATCAAACTGTTTCCGTTTCATCATCCTTTTGTCACAAAGTGGACTTGCAGCTTTGAAGAAATCTGCATAATCAAATGCTCATTTTCTGCTGTAAACTGGAATATTTCATTTTCTCTCTGCAGCAAAGACCTCGCATTGCAGTTACTGTTCAATCTCATTGCTTCGGCTTCCCACTTAAATGTTTTTGACAGCTTATCAGTCCCAGAAATATCTAAATCCACATTATTATTTGGACAAGTTAACCATTGTCTGTGGAGTAGCTTTCCAATGAAAAATAGGGCCTGTTAGTGAATACAAGGCTAACAAACAGACTTTAATACAGTGCTCGGGTTATCTGTTAAAGCGCATTGCAAAATTCCTTGAAACCTTAGTTATTCCTTGGTTATTAATCAGACTCACTGCCAGGTGATTTTTGGAGAATATTTTGGAAAGGGCGACAGACAAGACAAACAGATCATAGCATGTTGTTAGGACACAGACACATGGGTTAACATACAGACAGACAAACCCTTAAGTGTGGGTTACACAAGACAGACCCGCTGGACACCGGTATATCGTGTATTAATAAATAATACTGTAACCCAGATTCTCCCTGTTAGTCTGCCAAACATTCACACCTGCATGCTTTGTAAGACAGCACAGCCATCAGAATCACCCTGTGGTTTTGGTTCTATGGAGTACTGATGCATTTCTGTGGATATGACATTAAGCACACCCTTCTGTCTGGTTAATCAGAATGTTCAGACTCCAGACTCCCAACACAGACTTTGATGGAAATGAGAAACTCATAGTAGTGCAGTCCATGATGGCTTGATCCACATATGTTCAGCCTCTAACTCCTTCTTTTGGCTGCTGTCCCAAAGTCCTGCAAAGATTCAGCCTAAAACCAGCCTCTAGGAACACCTGGAGCCCAGCTTCCCCACCACGAAGTTCAAATTACTATAAATCTGAACAAGACTTACAGTTGACCTGCAGTCACATTATGGGCTACAACGGTCGGGACTGAAGCCCAGATTTCTGACACCAAGAGGTGCCGAGGGTTCGTCATTCAAAATCACGTTTTCTCGATGTCGTAGTCTTCCCCACCTGTTGTTGCGGCTGGATGTGTGGCAATTGTTGGCGCTGGCCTTGCAGCGTCCAGTCATTTGCTCCAGGAGGCGGGCCAGGCGGGTACAGCCGCTCTGCCCCTGTTGGTAGCAGCACAGGGATTCCATGCAGCTGAGGTTCTGCACCTGGGAGGCTGGTAGAGACTGGAGGGAAGGCAAAAAGTGGAAGAAGCGCAGAAACAGAGGGAGAGAAAGTGAATAAAACAAAAATGAAAAGGTGGCACAGAATGAAATCACAGAAAATTAAGGAGAGAAAAAACAAAAAAAAAAAAACAAGATTTGAGTGGAGAAAGAGAAGAAAACAAAGAAAGATCAAAACCAAAACAATTCAGGGTGACTGGTATGAAAAGAGTGACTGGAGGATGATGTTTTGCATGCTGTCACAGCAACAGTGATGTACAAGGGAAAACATTCAAAACATGCTACATCAGGGATTGAAATGTGGTAAATAAATACTTAAAAACAAAACAAAATCCTATGAGAAAAAACATATGTTTGTAGTTAAACTTAAGAATGATCTGCTGTATAATTTTTGGGCAACGTTAAACCAGATCAAGTGTCTTCGGCCTTGTGCCAAAACCAAATATCAAATGCTAAATACATAAAGTTCCTGCAGTGGTTCTATTCTAGGTTCCTGATAGTAGCTGGGCATTACACAAGATAGGCTGTGCAGCAAATGAAGACCACCCAAAGCTATTCTTTTCCTCCTTGTGCACCTCAGCAGAGGATTTTTGTTCACAGAGCAGAAGCTGTGGCATTAGACTACGACTACAAAACAAACCTTAAGGAAAGATGACTTTTTGTTCCAGAGCCTCGAAAACTCAACGCAGGTCTTTCTGCTAGGCTGTCGCATCTGTGATGGATCACTTAGCATCAACATAAACATTTAACATAAACTAACCATAAGCCCATTTTCTCTACTTCCTTATGCTCAGGCTGGCTCTCTATTAAGTGGACTTTTTTTGCAAGACTACATGTTTTGGGATTATTTAAAAAACAAACAAACAAAACTTTTTTAAAACTAGATTGCTCAGTGAGCCAGTGGTGCACTCGTAGATAAAGCTAAATTAAATGAGAAACCTGTCTGCTGACCTAAGGAAGCACCTGGCAGTAGGTGATGCAGTAGAGACAACGAGGAAAAAGTGACAGTGGTGTAGAGTTGCACTTATTCAGCTGGCATTGTGTTCCCTACTACTACCTCTCAAGTGTAGGTCCCATTTATTACTGTGTATTACATGAACATAATTCATAAATCTACTATGCTAATAGTATTGAGGAAAAAAGGTTTTGATTGTTTTGAAGGTCCAGTAACACACAGGTACAGTTTGATACTGTGTCATAGTACAGAATCAGAAAGTTGAGATATCGCCAAAGTTGGCTTTTGTACAAAACGGTTTCTAAACGCGGTCATTTCACGATGTCCCCTCTAATGTGGTAATGCTGACAGTCATTTGTGTCTGGGTAAGTGACCCGTGGATTCCAGTGTGCTTTCACTTATGGATGTTGTGCTTTTCTGCAGCTGAAACTGGAGACATGCTAGGCATGAATCCAAACTTCTGCTTCCTCGCTGGAGACAGCAAAACAAAGACAGGTCACGGTGAATATGAATTACTCTGACACTGTCAGGTGCTCCAAGGTTATACTATAAATGTCTGGTTTTTAGACTCAGGTTCTATTGTACAGCGTTTTGTCTATTGAAAAAAAGAAAAGAAAAGCTGGGGCTGTTGAAAACAGGAAAAGAAGCACAACCACAGCTGTAGCTATGAACATTACACACCTTATTCTACTGATTATCTGTTGGAGAAATATCCTTTCTAAGTAGACAGCACCATATGAGTCTGTCTTTAGATTAACTAACAATAATGATTTTGCTTACTCAAACAAATGAACCCCTGCATCAACCTGTGGAGAACCAATGAGTCATCACAGAGCCTGTAAATACAAAGAGCCAAATTCAGCACTGCAGTGTTTTCAACCAACTCTTGGGTTTTATTATTTATTTTTTAACCTCTAAAGAAAGAGGCAGTCACATAATTCAGAGATCAAAAGAAGACCAGACTGTAAGATTAATAATTCTCATGTAAACCTTTTGAAAAATGAATGCTAGAGCTGAAGGCTTTGCCATTAAAATAGCCAAGGCCTCAGTGACAGCTGTATGGTTGACGTCATCCTCTGGCTGACTTACCACAATATTAATTACAGCTTTCAACTACGTTCTTGCTTTCTGTCCTGTTACTGAGCACAGCATTTTGCTGCTTTAAAGAAACAAAAACTATTAAATTATGGAACTAATGGGGAAAAAAGATATTTAAAGTCATAATTGAAAAGGAAGTAAAGGTGATGTAAAACCCTTACAAGCAAGCAAAGATATATCACTGCGTATGAGATGAAAACATGGCAAAGACAAAGTCAGCATGCCAACAGCATTCTCTCTGCGTCTAAACTCTGAACCCATACCTGATCAGAAACCAGTGAGGGGTGAATTGAGACCGGGTTGGGAAAAGGATGAGTAAAAAAAATCATGGTTGGGTAAGGGGAGGACAGGGTCAGTCGCATCTGGCCAGGGAAGGACTGTGTTATTCACTGACAGGTAAGGGAAGGATGAAGTTAATTGTGACTGGCTGGGAAAGCATGGGGTCACTCATATACAACGTGGGACAGACACAAAGGCAAACAGGAATCTTATTTGAGTAACGAGTTAAAAGGCTGTGTGGGAGCAGCTGTGACAAACAGTTATGGGTTAATGATCAAGGGCTGCAGGTTGTGCAACTGAGTGCAGCTATGAAAGGGTGCACAGGGTTGGTTGGTCTTCAGGTGAAGACGATGCCCAGGCAGTGATTGTACAAGGAGGGGGGCAGATGGAAGTGAAGTACATGTACGGTACTACCTAAGGGAGCATGAGTCTGGGCCGGGGGCAGCAGGGGGAGGATAAGCAGCTAGCAGGTGCCAATTGTCCTCCCCTGGGCTCCGCTGGGCTTTAACAGGGTCATATTCTGGGCCGACTGAACCCTCACCCTCTTCCATCTGAAGGACACAAGATGCTTACAGTGAGCCCCACTAGCTAGTCATACAGTCAACCTTGCGGACGGTTGGCTGAACACTAAAAAAAGCAAACCAGGTGCACTGCAAAACACATCCTTAGCAGTTTCATCTCATGTTCAATCTTTAGGTGTTTATTGAAACAAAACGATTTGGATGACTGGATCAAATAATTGCTACCTTTTATTAATTGTGCAATTTTTCTAAATGTATCAAATATTTGTTCTTATTTTGATTTACATGCAGATCAGCTTTTGTCTCGTACAGCTGGAAAACAATTTGAGGTACAGTGGATATGTTTTCCAGTGCTGCTTATTTACTAACTGGAGGATTCATTAGTCAGCAAGCAAGCGATCATTTGGTCAAGAGCCAGTCCAGGCTGCACTATAGGGGGCCAGTTAATTGGGGGAATTTCTGACCTTCACTCTACAGTGTACTCGAATACATTTCTTCATACCGAGAGGCCAAATCAACGCCGCTCCTTCTTAAAGCCCTTCACAAGTGACCTTCTCGACAAAGCAGAAGAGCTGACAAGCCCAGCTGCTTCCTGCTTTTTGCTCAAAGTCCCCAGCTGCACATTTAAATCACAATTTAATTAGGACTGCGAGATAATCAGAAATCACTAGTTGAGAATAAGTGAAATAAGTCTTTTAGAAAATGTAAAGGGCTTTGATGAGGGCACTAGTGGAGGGCTTCATTTCCTACAAAAGTTAAAGACAACTAAGCACAGTGGCTAGACGGCCAGTGCGCTCAAAAACGGCCGTGAAACTAGGCAACAAATGAGCAGAAAGAAGCTTCATTCATATGACAAGCATCTTGAGGGAAACAGAGATAGAAGCACATCTATTAGAATCCAAAGCAATTAACCTGCTGCTGAATCTATCAGAGCTGCAGAGTAGGCAAACAACAGTAAACCCTAGAGAGCCCTCTGGGTTCTTTTACGATTACCTCTATCTAATCTAATTAAGAAAAAAAAAGGAAACTGAATAGTTCCAGAATTATCTCAGCAGAGCTGAACATACTGCATTATGCAGCACATTAACATGAATATACCATTAAGATTTTGAACGCAGAAAATCAACAAATCGCTCAGACTGAGTGAATCTGTTTTGCATAATGTGCTCTGTACCCTCACCTGTGCTCTCCAAATCAATAGCTGGTTTCTGCTCATTTAGTTTCTGAGATGAGACCAGCTTTATCTACATACAAGCAGCCCGAAACACATTCAGACGGTAGTTTATTAGGTACGCCTAGCTAAAACTTGTAACGAGAGAGGCAATAAACCCTACTGTCATAGAGGGCACATTTAGTTGCTGTTACAACAGTTTCAGATAACTGATTCAACTTTACTGTAACTTACAGGCTTTTTGTCAGTGAGGACAAAAAGCAACTTGCAACCCAATCTATCTGCCCCACTAACTACATCCTGCAGATTCAGTTTACTTTGATAGTGTATAAACCAGCGACTAAGTGTGCTATAAACTAGCATGAACAGTAAATCCAGCCCACTGTTTTTATAAGTGACATTTCCTCCCACCCACCTTGGAACCATACAAATTAGCAAGCTATAAAAACATGCAGAAGCAAAACAAATTCATGATCCTTGCTCATAACAAAAGTAATAATAGCAAAACTAAATATGACCTCTGTATCAACCAAAGATTTGCTCACCTTGGACAGTTAAAAAGAATAAAAAACTCCCCATTTGCTCATGTTCACTCATTAAGAGAGAACCACCCTAAATTTGGCTCTTTGGCCTTTGTGTTATCAAAGAGAGCTTATGCTATTGTTAGCATTTTCCTTACAGGTTTTTATCGTGACATCAACTACGAAAGAGCAAGATCTTCAATTCAATCAATGAAAAATACGTGAGACAACACAGGGTTTCATTCATAGCAACATGCTGCTGTACAAAACAGTCCAAACCAGTTCAAGAGTCTGTCATGCAGCTGTGGGAGTGGCAGTCTTGCCCTGAGGATCTGCCTAAAACCATGCAGGTGGATAACGCTGAGCTAAGGAGGGCGTTTCCGTGTCCTAGATTGAGTTGTTTTAGTTGAGCATACATCAAGATAGGTGACCATGCCATATAGATAAAAGTAGTAGATTGATGGGCTGCACCATGCATCTGATTCATGTGTCACTTTAACATGTGAGGGGCATTCCAGATTGTGCTCATGTGACAAGACCACTTGCTGATGGTCAAGAGGTAGGTTTGACCAGCTGCAGCGATAAAGAATGACGATCAGAGCCGCCTCCCCAACACATTTCCCCTTACGTTATGAGCGCTGAGGGAAAGAGTCAAGAGTCTACGAGCCCTCACAGGTGATTCGGCATTCATTCATTCTCTCCCCCATTCATTTATCCATTTGTACATGCAGCGGGTGGTGGGGTAATGACAGCGGCATGCTGTGACAGGCAGGAGTGGAAAGTGGTCTCAGAACACATTCTCTACATCCGTCTCTCACTGAAAATGCAACACATGCAGCGGCTGAAGTGCTTGAACCCGATTCTTCGACATGATCTCCAACCACACATTTATATCTTCTCTACATCCCAGTCACAGAGAATGCTGATTGGCTTGTGCAGGGCATGCAGTTACAGGCATGAAACAAAGGCTCCTACTCTAAAACTGACGGTACACAACGCTGCAGTTGTGGTACTGCCAGTGTTAGAAAAATGACCAAATAAAGTTGAGACCTGGGAAAAAGAACATTTGAGTTTTGTATGAATGATCTTACACAGGAGTGCTTATTCCATAAAGCAATACTTCTACTTTCTACGGACTTTTTGCAGTGTGCTGTGTACAGGATTTTAACTACTACGCTGTGTATTTTTGGCCAAACAGAATTAATGTGAAGAGAGGTGCACAGCATGCTTTGATGTCACTGTCAGGCCACGCCACATTATCAAAGAACAGCTCCCTAAAAAGGGTAAGAATTGATACGTTTTCAATTACAAAAGCAGGGCAGCAACTCTGTGTTAATAGCTGACAAATCATAGAAATATAGATTTATAAGTACAGATGGATCACAATACAAGTACACACACAGTACAAGAATATTGCATTTGAATAAGGCACTCCTTATAATATTCTGAATTTTGTTTTGGGTGTATTTTAAGTCCACGGCTGAGTCACTCAATTCCTCTACCTAATTTTGCCCAGCTGGCTCTTGGCTCTGGACAAAGGCTGCAGAGCGATGAAGTCATCACCTATCGCCACACGGTTGGAATACATCTACACCAGGAGAGTGCACACAGAGGATAGGATGAAGACACACAGAAAGGTTAAAAATCAAAGTCTCTCTCTCTCTCACAGACACACACACACTACCACAAACCCACTCGCAGAATCGCACACACAGACAAAACAGGACAAAGGTTAGAGCAGAAAATACAAACTCCATGTAGGACTGGACAAATTTCAAAGGAGAAGGGTCTAAACTAAAACATAAACAATCTCCAGCTGGACAAATCAATACAGCAACAGTGTGGGTCCTCTGAAAGGTGACCATGCACAGTGTGGAGCTGGTCTGCGTGTCTGTGATCAAAGGCGACTCATGCAATGTGTGTATAAACACCAAGTCCTTCTTGTGCTGCCAAGTTGATTACTTGTGACCACATAGGCTCATTTAAACAACACGATGGGCAGAACCTTTTCTCCTCCCTGCCTCTGTCACATTTTAACTTTCAGTGGCATTTTAGTTTATTTCTTCCCTCCAGGCTCTTTTCAAATAGCGGGAAATATAATTTCCCTTTGTGTGAAACAAGTAGGAATATGTATTAAATCTAACGCTTGACACACAAGTTTAACTACTGGAAAGCATTCGGCCCTTTTGCCAATTTTTTCATTCTGAGCCTGCAGGAAACCCCAAACCCACAGAAACTATTTTTAGACTTGTTTACATAGATCTGGTAATAAACTAACAATATCTGACTTATTCTCAAAGTCTGTTAACTACTTAAGAATACTGCCATCTCTCATTGGCTTTCACCCTTTTTAAAACGATTTCAATGTAAGTGAAAACAGAGAAGTGGGTGAAGTATTCTCAGTAACTACAGTAGAGTCCAAACAGCAAGTAGAACAAAAGAGCACTTAGGCAGCTGCTGTGAACCAGAGAAAGTACAGAGTTAGGCCAGCACTGGCTCACAGGCAACAACCTATAAATGTCTTACCATCTCACATTCATACTTTCCACTTTTTTTTTCTTTTTTATAATACTGCTCCTGCACCTCCTCCCCTCATTACCTGACTCTTCTGAGTGCTGGTGGGCTGCAGGTGTCTGTACAAGACCTTCTTCAACACATCAGGAAAGAGGCAAGTTATGACGATGATGATAATGGCGAACCAGGCTGAACCGCTGGACAGCAGCTGCACAAAGACGAAGTACATGTCCTGGGTGTGCAGGAATGGCCTGAGGGGGCAAGGGGAGAGGAAACAATGTCTATTTTATGCTTAGAAAACATCTACAAGCCAGTTTGTCCAAAAGCAACAGTAACATTTGGTTAGCCTTACAAAAAAAGAAAAAGAAAAAAAAGAATCATACAAAACAAAACAGCAACAGAGATGGGCAGCCAGCCTCAACTCTGCCCTGTTCACCATAAATTCAGGTTTTACTGGCAGTTGGAAGTCATGCTCTTAGAGTAATTTCATTATTTCCTGACACCAGAGTTTAATGACTGGTGCAGATGTCAGACTACAAATATCCATTATGGTCCAATATTATCAGCATGGCTCCTGCAAGTCTGTGAGTTCACTGGCCTGTGTAACGTGGTCGAGACTGATCTGTTCAACTCAGCAGACTACCAGAAAAAACAAAAACAAAGCAGTCGTGTGAGGTAGGGCTGGGCCATATCATTCCGTTCACGGTAATACCAGTATAATGTTGGGCTACGACAAGAAAATTAAATATCGCGATAGAATATGGGTAAAACACGCATGCGCAGTGCCTTTGTTTTCATACGCACATGGTGAAAAAGGCACGGCGGCGACGGAGTATGACATGGGTGAAAGCGGATCGTTGAATTAAACTGATGAACCAGAACTGGTTTGTAAAAATGCTGCAACTTCAGTGGTGTGGAACTGGTTTAGCTTTCGTCCGTCAGATACACAACAAAGCACTATTTTTGGTAGAGCGTGCTAGCGGGCCGTCGTTATTACCATGTTGTTTGGAAAGTACAGCACACTTAAAATCAATCCTTTGATTTTTCTGAAAATCGACAGTGCCCCTTATAATCCCGCGGGCCTTATGTTTGAATTCTGGTTGTGTTTACCGACCTTGAAATGATTTTATGTCGTACACGGCGCTCGAAAATCTGTCAAATGTTTTAGTACGATTTTGCTAAGCTACGAACCCGCACCGCTTGATGGATTGTCTGAGCATTACGGCTATCATAGGCAGGAGCCTCGCGGAGTGATACGTACTGTGCTTCGACATAATATTACCGTGTTGTGTGTGTATAACCTCTTTTTAAGTTTTGTGGATATTATACATGGTTATGCTGAGGATATGTCGGCCAGTTTCCACTGGAAATGCCTTTTGGTTCAACTGTCAGCGAGGAATTTGCATTTGCACTGTAAAATTTTTATATAACTTTATTGCACATAAAAAACAGCTGCTTGTTTAAGTGAAAATACATTGATTTTTTTTTTTTGCACTAATAAAATTGTGGAGTTGTAAAGTATTTTGTCTAGTGTCAATTATATCGTTATCGCAAATTTTCAAATCTATATCGTGATAAATACTTTTGGTCATATCGCCCTGCTCTAGTGTGAGGTATAGTTTGACATCAGGGCTGGGCAATAAAACACTAAAATAGTCATTATGAAGTAATTTTTCCCTCAATAGAAAAATGAGACAATGCTCAATATAAAGCCGATAGAACTCACTACATCCATGTTTTCACAGACAATACGAGAGGCCAGTGAGAATAGTACCCTGTCAAACCAATCATGGGGACGGACATGGTTGGAACACTGACATCAGTGTAGGAGGAGCCGCTGGCAGCAGCACATGTGCTAATGTTTGTGCTACTGCAGCGTTAGTGAACATGACAGCCATAAAAGGACAAGCTTATTATTCAAAAGAAGAATCTGAGGACTTTGCTAAAGCCTGATAAAGAAGCAGAGCAACATACATTGCAAAATGAGTTGAAAGCACGTTTCCACATAAATGCCACATAAGCACCTGAAGCAAGGACATGCTTACACCATGCACAGCTAACTGTTTACCTGCACAATGCAATACCTTATTGTAATCTGTATGATGCAAGTAAGCACAGTTGAAAATGTTGATTGAAGCTGCTGGTTCAACTAGCTGTAAACATTTCTCTCAGACAGCACTGTCCCAGCTACACAGGAGTGTAGAGAGATCTGCAAAGCTATCATACTTCACCACCTGATCGGATTTGTGGTCAAAAACAATGCATTTCAATCCTGTGCTTCTTGTGCTTTCTCAAACCATTTCTATTTATATATTTTAGAAAAACTTGACAGTTAGGCCTGCGACAGACTGACGACCTACACGTGGTGAACCCCATCTCTCGCACTACGGGAGCTAGAATAGCTCCCAGTCCCGCCCCCACAACCCTGAATTGGATAAGTGAAAGGATGGACGGATGGATGGATTGTTGTCTTGAAGCATTAGCACACCACAATTGTGTGAATATATCACTTTAGTTTATGTTCTCTTTTTTATATTTGAAAGATTCCTGAATTTTTACTGATGATATATACAGAAAGCTTTGTTTATTTTTGGTGTTGTTCCCCCCAAAAACTGTTTGAATCTATATAAATCATCTTATTGGTCAGAATTAATATTTTAGATGACTGTAGACACACAGAATTACAGATCTGTATATTGTTCTATTTTTCTGTGTATTGTACATTTGTCATGCTCAGCTTCTAACAGAAAATAATATTTAAATGTTTAATATATATGAGAAAAAAAACCTGAAAAAAAAAAGTGGTAAGAGCTTTTTTTTTTGTTCCTGTTGCCCAGACCTATTTGAGATAAACATACAGCACAGAGGAAGTAACTGAGTTTAAAAGCATCACTTTCCAGAAGCAAAAAGAACTTGCCAAGAAGGTGTTCTTACCAGATGATGCCTCCATAGAAGAGAGAGAAGATGAAATAGAAGGCAATTGAGCCCCATGTCACAAAATGGTTCATCCACGTCCAAAAATGAGTCTCTAATGCAAGCTGACGTTACACACATACAGGAGGGGGAGGAAAAGAAAAATGGGTGTAAAACATGGATCCAGGGACAGGCAGTGCATCAATAAACTACAGCAATCTTCCTCCGTGCTATAAAGAGAGACCTTGAGGTGACACTGATAAATTATCTTCTCGAATTAATGGCCACTGACATCATCCTCATCACAACATCTTTCAACATATTTCATTAACGAGACTTTGACAATACAAATGTCTCCTTTTGAAACTGCATGTGTTTCTCAGCTTTCTGCTATGCAAACATCAGCCATCATCCTTAGAGGGCATTACATGAGAAAAGACTCAAACACTCAAAAATAAATTGCTGATGTACTTCAGTGTCAGCTTGTCAACTTATTATAAATTCCTACATGTAAGCAAAACTCCAGCTAAGCTGAAGATGTGTCACTGGATACTTCTTTCCCAGCCCTTGTTTACACTCACTGAATAACTTGGCTTCCTGCTGCTTTGTTCTCAGCAGGCAGCATACATACAAATCTGACTGGGAGAGTGCCTGCTATTATATGAACCCACCACTCATTACTCTGAAAGCTTCAAATGTAACCATGAGTGTCGTAAACATTACAAAACGTTCCAAACACAACTGATTCTTCAGAAAGAGTACAGTGGTTTGTTGATAGGGTATAATATTTGATATCATTTACCTTTAACGTGACAGTGATGACCATGACAGTAAAGACCAGTGTTCCAAATGTCCAGTTCCCAAACATCTACAGAAACAGACATACAAGTACTTCAGTTAATAATAATAAACAGCATTACAATGTAGTTTGGCACTTCCTGAAAATGATTTCATGAGGAGGGGAAAACAGAAGCTTTGCATAAATGTACAGACTGTGTGTTCGCATCTGTATAAGGGACGTCGTTACCCTACTGCTCTTGTTCCCTTGGATCACTGACAAGCTTTAGTCTACACATGTGGTGCAAAGAGAGACAAGTTCACTATGACTGTAGCCTTGGTTAACAAGTTGTTTTGGCATCACGGTGCCCAAAATAAGACCTCGGCCTTCAACTGTGTGAGTACCATCAGTAGCTCCACTGTTCTACTTATAGGTTGAGAGCTGTGGGAGACATTGTTTTGTTGCCAGCCAGTTCAGGACCCTGCTGGTGTCCGAACATTGAGGGCTAATAGTGACACACAGGGGAGTAAACACCATTTCTGGACCTGTGATAGGAATACAGTTCAAGTTTGTGCTCGCTACTTTCAGAATTATGATTTAAACTAAAATCTTTTACAAACTCGGTCTCCTAACTGATATCTACCTACTTATAGAAAAATCTGACTAGATGTTAGTGAAGATGGTTTCTGCCTATGCAGCTACGCTTTGAAAAAGGCAGAAATTCTATTCTATTCTAATGGTCATCAAACTCAAAATATAATATATTGTAAAATACTGTATATACTCAAAAATCGCCATTAAGGGTACAGGAGAGGTAGGAAATGATTAAACCAAGCCATGTAACTCTACTATGAGTTGATTCAGCATATTTCAAGACACCACTAATGTAAATGCTATAGACTAGCCACTTAAATTCATGCTCTTGAATAGCATCATTACTAATAATTTAATATTTCACTTAAGAAAATCTTTCTGGGAGTTCTCTCATTAGCTCCCTAAGAAGACATGCATTCATCTGTAGAGCAGACTCTTACCAGCTGCCTGTTAGCTCGCAAGATCTGAAGACATGCACAGCATGAAGGCAAAAGGGAAAAGGCGTAATCAACAAAGGACAGAAGAAAAAGACAACCAAGAGAGTGCAGTAAAAGTGAGTGCTTTCGGAAATACCAAACTTCAGAAAGAAAGAAAGATGATGCTCTTAAACAAAAAGAACGACAAAGAGACAGATAAGAAAAGTGCAAGATGAAGGGAAGACGTGAGTGCAAAAATACCAGCGGGTAAACAGTCCCGTTAATGTCCGCAACACAACAAGATGCAATCACGAATGGTTACTCTATAGTATCAGTTTGCTACTTTTCCCTTTTTTGCTCTGAACTAACATTTGACTGATATCAGCATCATAGAGCATGAAAACACATACCTGTCCATTGCCCATAAGTGTGGTGTCCTCTCCCATTAGTATGTAGGATCCAAAGAAGAAGACAAAGGCGTGACAGAAACCCAACACAGTCCAGTACAAGAAGGTCCGGAAAGAGAGCAGAGAGTTCTTGCTAATATCCCTGCAGAAAATAAATAAATAAAAGGTTTTTTTTTATCATAATCCTTAAGAGCATTCATAGGATCCAAGCAAAGTTGCATGTTTCACTGTGATGAATAAATAAATACATTGCAATTTAGCAGTTCTGAAAAATAAAATGATTTATGTAACAAGCAGCATCTAGATGCTAACAGCCAATTTAAAAACATTACATAAAATTCCAATTAACACACAAAAAAAAGAAACAGTGGGCCAACTGTCTATATAGATGATGACATAACAGAAAACAATATACAAAGTAGTGTTCACCTAGAGATGACATATAAGCTCACCTGTACAGGCCAGGTTTGTTCTGCAATACATGCGGATGGACCAGCTGTTCAAACAGACTGTACACAAGGATTGGCAGCGAGGTGAAGCAGATGTTGTACAGTGTCAGATAAACACTGTCGTACAGAGTCTAGGTTGGACAGAGACAGCATTTCACTCATCAATGACCCATTAACAAGAACTGATATCCACAACTTGTTCAACAGACCTTAAAGATATCAGGGAGCGAGGCGGAGCAGAGTTGGAGCAAAGCGGAAAAACAAATGAGTAGGAACACACACACTGTACTAGAAGATGAGGCAAGAGGATTATAATATGGCCTCCCAGTAAAAACTATAGTGTTACATGGTTAATAATATTTTGGGACTGGCTTCCAAAACCATGCTACATAAATAATTGAAAAGACAGAAATTCAATAGACTTCTGATTCTTAATTTTAAAGCCTATAAATAATAAGATCCATTTTCGTTTTTATTTAACACAGATTCACTACAAGAGACATCGAAAAAGAAAAAAAAAATCTATAAAAATGCACTCAATCTGATACCTAATAAGATACGCTGGTAAAGCGGAGCACAAAATTAGGACCAAAACACCACTGACATTAAAAAGACAAAGATACAGAGAGTGTGAGACTTACTTGTTGTGAAAACAAACAGAAGAACTGGTATAAAAACTGCGGCGTGATAAAACACACATTCTAGAAAAGACAGAGTGAAGGAAAGAAACATTAAAAATATTGCAGTGACAGGAGACACAACTGAACACGCTCTTAGTTATGCTACGGTCACACTAGGGGAAACAGTGGTTGGAGGCTATGGCACAAGCTAAATTATTGTGACTGTGTGCAGTGAACCTGTAGTCCCGTTGCCTTTGAGATGGTGTCTTTGAAGATGGGAACCAAGTCAGTGAGTAATTGTATCACGACAATGATAAAATGACAATAAAAGAGTCAGTCTGTTATCTGAATGGGGTTAAGTTGGCAATTACGTGCAATTACACAGCAAATAACTGGGATAAATCAGCAAAAATTGCAAATCTGTTGCCATCTATAGACACAGAATTCACATTTAGAGAACAACCAAATCTCCTGAACAGAAATGTAGAAGTTCTCCACAGATAAGTGATTTGTTATTTGAAAATGTAAAAACAGGCCCTGTGCAAACTTGTTTCAGATAGGAAAATAACCAGAATACACCCATTTGGCAACCAATTAGGCAGAGTCTTCTTTTGCAAAGAGATGCATCACAGACCAGCTGCACTCAGACTGAGACTGAATTTGTGAGCATTTATAAATTACACAGCAATATTTTGCAAACCTTCACCAATCTGAAAATGATTGCAGAGCACCACTGTTTGGAGCTGGGTTGACTCCCACCAGGCAACCTGTGCAATTCCTTTTTGACTTAAAGGAGTTACTGCAAATACATGCAATTTTTTGCTAAATTAAAAAAAACAAAAACAAAACAAATAAAAACACACCGATTTCTCTTAGTCACAGGGAATGTGTCTTGTATTTTCATTCTAGTGGGACTGAACAATTACAGCGGAAGTAGAAAGTCTCTTTCTAGATCTTACCTTGTAGAAAAAGTACTGTACAAGAGTAGCTATTCGAATGTAGTAGAAGTGCCCGTGGACCAGCAGGAGTTTGGCCAGGAACTTGAACCTGGCAATTGCATAGTCGCTGTTTCTCACAGCCTGACGACCCTCCTTCCCCATGATACCTGGAGACACAGACATACTGGAGATCACACTGCAGAACACTAATACCATGTCATGTGAGACAATACAGTCTGTATCTACGTGAGCTAAGTGTTTACCTATGCCCACATGGGCTTCCTGTATCATACTGACATCATTGGCTCCATCCCCAATAGCTAAGGTGATGGGTTTTTCTGGAGATGTCTTTAAAAGACGCACAACCTAGACATAACAAAGTAACAATGGCATCACAGGTGAGCTTCAGAAAATTTGCAGAGACAAAAAACAAACAAACATAAAAAAACCCCCCAAAAAAACAACAACAAAGGAACCCCATCCACCCACAAACAATTAAAAATGCTTACAAGACAACAATACCTTAGCTTTCTGCAGTGGGGCCATGCGGCAGCACAGCACAGCTGAACAGTTTTTACACACTTCCATAAAGAGCTTCTCGTGTTCCCTCAATGCTAAAGACAGACTAGCTCCATCTACAACCAATCCATGCTGTATGACATGGTCCTCCCTTAACCTGCGAACAGACAGAGAAAAAGTAAAAAAAAAGAACACAATATGAGGTCAGGGGGATATATATACACACAAAATTAAACAACATGTATGCTGTCAGATAACATCATTACTTTCAGCAGAATCACACCTACCTCCTGGACAGTATGCGGAGCTGCTCAGCACACTCGTTATCAGAGTGCTGCTGCAGGAGCTCCAGGATGTTCATGGTTCTGTGGAAGTGGCCACAGGACAGGCTTACACTGACTGCCGTCTCATGTTTGTCCCCTGTCAGCACCCATACTTTGATTCCTGCGAGTCGCAAAGCCTCAATGGTCTCCTGGACCTTGTCCTGAAGTCTAGGGATACAAGAAAGAGAGAAAATAAACACTTTGGTCTCCAAGGTAACGCAGACAAAGTGTGGGTAACTTGATGGAACTGATCAAACTAAGCTTCATAATTTAACACATCTACTGAAGGGTTAGCAAGAACTGGTGAGCAGAGGGTGACTGACTACTTTGTGTTTTTCGCTGCAGTTATTTTTCAAAAGATTCAAAGACAGTTGATCTGATCTAATATTTTTATGCCAATCGGCATTACATTTTTCATGTTACACAGATGTTGGAGGGAACCCTTCATCTCATCTTCCATACCAGAGGAGATTCTTTGACCGTGAACATCCGTGCCCCGGGAGGATCTCATTTCAGATACAGAAGCAGAGCAGTGGGAAAAAGGGAGAGCGAGCAAAAAGATAAACAAAGTGGGAGACGCAAGAGGCTTATGTGAGGAGCAGATGGCGAGCGGCTGCAAACACACATCAACATTCATTTCCAGAGAGGCTCGGTGAGGTGACGTCTTCTTCTCCCTGCTGACTATTTATTGTCTGTTAAAAATCTTCCCACTGTGTTTATCTGTCTGTTTTGCCTGTGTGTTTCTTCAGTTTTGAATTTTTTTCTCTTTTTTGGGGGGGGGTGGAAGCCCATGACAAAAAAAGCCTAAGACAGCAACAACAAAACACAAGCAGATTTGATCCACTGTGGATGATGTCCATTTCTCAAAACTTACTTTTTTTTTTTGGGAATGTGTGAATTACAGAAATAAGATTCCGAGTTTTGTTGTCAGCAGTTGGGCGTACAGTGGTCCCTCGCTATAATGCGGTTCACCTTTCGTGGCCTCGGAGTTTCGCAGATTTTTTTGTGTGCAATTTTCCATGTTTTTTTTTTTTGTTTTTTAAACAGCGCATTGTGTTCTGCGTCCTGATTGGCTGTACACCATTGTCGATCAATCTCGTGCCGTGTCTCTGTACAGTACAGAATGCGTTCAGCTTGTCAAATTTACATAAATCTTTGATCGCTAGCAGTGTGACTCTGAAGCGCTGTACTGTATGTTTGTAAGCTTTCTCCCCAACCAACACAACAATGTCGACGAAAAGCTTTGCACCGTCAAAGGCAACTGCCTTTGGTTTCATTCTATAATACTGGTCATTTTCTTTTACAAAGGTTTGAGCTTTAAGAGTGTTTAAACAAGAGAGAAAAGTGTGAAAACGTCCATGCCAGTCTTTGAAAAGTGTATAAAGTGTGTAGTGAGGGGTTTTACAGCCTTAAAACATCTAAAATAATTGTAAAAAATAAAGTTGGCTACTTCGCAGATTTTACGTATCGCGTGTTATTTTTGGAATGTAACTCCTGAGATAAACGAGGGACCACTGTACTGCACAAACTGTTGAGATTTCAAATCCATTGAGAACTCAAGAAGGCTCACAAATAGTGATAAACATGACAAATGAATCTCTGACCAAGTGATTCTAGTGATTCTTGCAAAAATGTCTAAAGTGCCGGTAAAGCTACCAATAGGACTTAACCATTACACCTTGAGACCAAATTAGGTGAATACCTGTCTGTGTAAGGTCTCATCCTAGTCATGGTAGTTTTAAGAGCTTGAATAAAAGATTTTTTAAAAAGAAGGCAACTGTACTTCTTTCAATTTGAGAAGACACTTCATCTCTCAAAGGAGCTTCAGTTCTAAAACCAAAAGGTGGTGTGTGCAATGTATTTAATCCCCGGAGGGGGTTGTCCCATTTTGAGGTTGCGAGTTATCACATGAGCCAAGGTGTGAAAAAAATGGCATGGGTCAACTCACACCTCAGCTCATTACGGGGCAAGGTCTCACAGTTTTTAATGCTCACCGCGTTGCTTGTTGTGTGGGAGATGGTTTTCACAACTTCGCCTCCTTATTAGAGCGCATGACGCGATATTGTCTGAGTGGTGAAACCTGACGTTTATGAGAATACTGCAGCGGCTTCCTGCCACGACGGAGGGTATATTGGCACCTTTAGAGTGGTTTCACCCTTAACGTAACCCAACTACACTTTAAATAACCAGGACCCCTGGATGAGAGGTGAAACATCTTCACAAACTTAAGTGTCTTCAACCACGATAAATTACAGATGGATGGGTGACAGATGTTTTGCCATGGCATAAGCCTACTGGTCCTTCAAGTTCTTGATTTTATCTAATAGCTGCTCAGGTATCCAGATCTCGATCACCAAAGTGGACGGACAAATTGTCAACTGAAATTGGCCAGCATAAAGAAAAAAAATCCAGAAGCCTGTGTGGCACATAAATCATCTACTCCTGTACAATGGCATCCTGTTTTTAAAGTTGACCATCTTCAAATAGTACAGTGGTCAGTTGTTTAAATTGATCTAATTTGATGCCCATAATCATGTAGCATTGAGCAACACTTACAATTAACATTATCTTAACCCCACATTCCTAAAAATTGACTCAGATTACACACAAGTGTTTGGAAAAGCAAACCACAGTACTTCAGTGTACTGATTGTACTGACCAAATTAAACAATTTCTTCTTGATTTAAAAGAATTGATGCTTTAATTTATAGCAAACATTGTATTAAAAAAAAAAAAAGACCTGAGTCTACCTAGTTCACTTGACTCTACTTAAGCCTAGATTGTAGATTATTACTTTGTGTTCAATGCACACATCAAAAGCCTGCTTTGTGTATTATTAGTTTAGCGAGACTGTGTTTGTCCTTAATACTGTTTTAGGTGTGGATACTCAATGCAAAATCCTTTCTGTATTGATTAGCACGGGTTATGAATGTGATGAGAATGTCAAGATATTTTATTTTATGTTTTGAGTCTCCATACTTGTCCTCCACTCCTGTTGCTCCCAGGAGCTGCAAGTCTTTTTCAATGTAGCTGAAGGCTTCCTGCAGTCTCTCCTCCCTCTGCTGCAGCGCGGTGCGGGCACTGTTTAGTTTCTTGTCCACATCGATGTACTCCTCCGGACTGAAGTGGCGGCATGCTACAACCAGGGTTCGCAAACCTTTCTATAATTAAATTAGGAGAATGGAGTTTAGAAAAATGATTCAAAACAGGGAAGAAAAAGAAGAAATATCAAAAGAAAGGTTGATAAAATGATGAAGGATAAAATGAGACACCACGTTTGGGTAGATGGTAAGGTCAAATGTCGGCAAGGTTGGGAAAAAAATCATAAGAGAATGATGGGAAGAAATGAATCCAGGAAACAAAGAAGCAAAGAGAAAGAAAGACGAGAAAAACAAATTATTAAAGCTTGACTCTAAATCACAGAGCGAGCCTAAGGGGTAGATGACCACAAATCAACCCACCGACTCCTGGGTACTGACGTATGATGGCATGATGTGAGGGCAGTGCGTGTGTGTGTGTGTGTGTCTGTTGTGGCGAGGAATTTACAATGTAATGGGAACAGAGAGCCAAAAGTAATCACTGTAACACTGAAAAATGTCAGGCCTACACATACAGACACAAATCTGAGGACATAAATCAAAATATATATATTTAAAGGTTTCTTTTGAAGACAGATGTATCAACTTCATCCAATTTGTCTCAGACATCTGACCACAGGGATATCGGGAAGTTTCATATTGATAATCATATTACCTCTAGACAGGTAAGTCATTTGTATCCTATTAAATAATACATGTGCAGCTGATGTGTGTGACTTCAATGGTTAAAAAAAAAAAAAAAAATGTGTTTCTGCAACAGATGAAAAATCCCCCCCAAAAATATTGGGCTTAAGGGGTGATGAATCTGTATCATGATTGTGAAAATATAAGCATCTGGTTAATATTTAGAGAGGAAAACAAACAAACAAATAAATAAATAACAAAAATCTTACCATGGCAAACTCATCAACGTGCAGCCTTGTCTTTTCGATCTCACCACTAGTCGCGAAAGGCAAAATGGCAGACTCCGCCCCCTTGGTGAACAGCACTTTGCCTCCTTGAAAAGCAACACAGCAAGAACATATACGCTAAATATGCATTAAAATGTCAATTTTCAATAAAAATATAAAATAAAATACAAAAAAACTTACTATATTATACTTGTAAACATAAGCGTTCCATTTTTCGCTTATTTTAGAATATTATCAACTCCTCAATGTTTCTGTTTTTATTGTTAATGGTTAATTTCATTTTTTTCACTTGCAACAAACGTACAGCTCAGCTGAAGAACGTGGTATTACCTGAGGGAGTTTGCAGTATGACACTCATCCTCCTGCGGTTAGGATCAAACTCGAGTACATGGAGCAGTTTATACCTGAGTGTCCAAACAAAGACCCGTCAGACATTGATTAGTTACTCGTTTTGAACAGGGGCGATTTATTTTTTGGCTGCAGGTTTTTTATTATTTTACTTTAAAAACTATGAGAGCATGGAATATCTCCTGAGTGAGATTAAGAAAAACAACAATCCACTGTAATCTTATTTGTGATTTTAAAAATGCACAAGGTGACATACTTTTCTAACTTGCCAAAAGTTTTGATTTCCATGGTATCTCCGTTGCTGCAAGAGAAGGCCACTCCAATCCTGAGAGAGAAAAAATATAAAATAAAACAAACCCCAGCACTTATATTAACATCTTACAACAACTACCTATAACTGCAAGCTGTAGCATTTTTCTCAGGACACCGAATCAATACATAATTCATTCAGTTATCCATCCATTCTCTCTGTACTTTGAATAAATGGAATTTAAGTCTAAATGACTGCTTTCTGTCTTTATTTGAAATTTACACAGCATTAGAAACTTTTTAAAAGCTGTTTTGCAGCAGAAAAAACAAAACACTAAGCACTGAACTCTACTGTCTGGACTTCCAGTTTCATAGGGTGATCCTGCAAAACAGGATCCTGAATCAATGGGTGGATTTACTTTAAGGTACAAATTATAATTTACAATGGATGACGACACAGACAGCACAGACAGGCAGTCATTCCGGTTATGCTTCCTTTAAGCCCACTTGGAAGTCTGCCAGACCAGTGCATGTGCAATTGATGCACTGCAGTTCTCTTTGGACGAACTCACATAGCTCTCATAAAAATGGGCAGAAACACACACATCCAAACAGAGCCTTATGCTAAACGTCCAACGATGAACTTAACGTCAGTCTGACCCAAGTAGACCTTAAAACACTCGTGGACAAGCAAACCATAGCTTGGTCCTAAACAGCTACATGCAGAAATGATCAATTTATCAAGGTTTTCTTGTAGATCTAGAGGTGGTGTTTTGATTCCAGTTTCTTTAGCTGCCTAATGTTTAAGCAGCAAAGCAGAATGTGCTCACAATACTGCGTTTGCCCTTTCAGGACATATTCCCACAGTGGTCAGCTTGGGTTTTTGAATCGCTTCCTGGATATTGAATTGCTGCCCATATAGTATTATTGCAACACTGAAAGGAACAAGTGGTCAGCAGCCCAACCTCAGTGTCCCCCCCCCACCAAATTTCCCTTTGCAGCTAACACAATCAGTACAGTATGAATCATGTCAAAGCAAGGATTCTTATACACTTTCATTTATATAGCATATTTCCAGTTCTCAGCACTTTAGACTGCACCTATTCTACATCACATCCACAGCAAATTTAGGATATCACCAATTAACCTAACATGCATGTCACTGGTATCTGGAGGAAAGTGACACTGCCACAGGGAAAACGTGTTTACTCCACACGAAAGGACCCCAGCTGGGGTTTGAACAAACCTTGCTGTGAGTTGCCAGTGCCAATCACTGACCCATCTAGAAAGGCACAGACAAAACCAAACTCATCTTTAAAGTTTAAAGAAGACTAAGATTTGAGGAATCCTTAAATTAATAAAGACCTTTAAGACGTTTTGTTGTGGCATTACTGGGATGCAGACTACAATTTACACATTTCCTGTGTCGCAACCTCTGCAGTCCGGTGCAACCACCAGCTCTTAATGTCTAACATCACAACGCACAGCAACAACTTCGTCAGTCTGTTTTTTGTGCATAAATTTTAACCTGTGAACCTAAAACTTGCAGAAGAGGAAGCTCAAGTGTCACCTTACCTTTTTGTTGCCTCTACTAAAGCTTTCTCATCCGGTGAAGAGGCGTAGTACTCCATGGGACTGGAAGAGACCCCGTTGGCATGGGAGAATGGGTCTCCTCCCACAGCCAGGCAGTCTGACTGGTCGTAGCTGATCTGAACTGTGTGACAAAGTGACACTGCCTTGAGAAATAACAATTCGTCACCCATCTGGAAGGAAAGATGAGACATAAATTTTTATTTTCTCTCTCTCTCTTTTCTTGATGGATACAAACACAGCATGTTATTTTAAAAAAAAAAAACAGAAAAAGAAAAGAACCAAGCCTGCAATATATATATGCAATACCAGGGGAGGCATAGAACCATCTGGCGAGTCGTCTGTCATTCCCTCTGGTAAAAGTTTGCCATTAACTTCCCGGTACTTGGTTCCATTAATCGAACACTCGCGGAACTGCATTTCATTTTCTGTTAGTGTGCCCGTCTTATCAGTAAACACATATTCCACCTGAAAAACAGAAACACACAGATGCTCACAGAAGTACACTAACCATTAAAGTCGGCATAGTTGTATGCTGTATACTGAATATGTACATAAACGTAATTCACCGATTCAAACCGGTTCATATTTCTAAATTACTAAAAATTCATGATATTTCATATAAATGTAAAATATTTTACAGTATATGCTATTTTTATATACAACACTAAAACTCCGATAATACAGCAGGACATCCATGCATATCCATGTTCAGGGTGTGCTTTGTAATATGCATACATAGGCATCTTCATTCCTCTTTCATACCTGTCCCAACTCTTCATTGAGGTCAGAGGTATTGACTTGAGCTTTCTGGTCACTTTCCTCATGGTAAAGGTCCAAATCCCAGCCAATGAAAAAAGAGCCAAGGAACTTTTGCATCTCCACAGTAACATAGAGCGAGATAGGGATGATGAAGTTATAGAGCACCAGAAAAGCCAAAAAGTCTGAGATGAACTTTAAGATCTGAAAGAACATGACAGATTCTTTTTTATTTAAAGAGAGGACAAGAGAGCAGTACAATGAAAAGTATAAAGTAAATTTATATACATGCAAGTCGTTTGCACTGCTGCAAGAAAGAGAAATTATATAAACTGTATGAGAGAAGCATTACAAAAAAATGCAGGAGAATATTAAGACTGTCTTTCAATAAATTCGCTTACATATATCTCAGCCATATACAGAATAATGAAACCAAAGTAGGCGAGGTAATTCACTGACATTAAGGGACTGATTATTTAACTGACAGGAAAGGATAAGGAGCACAGACTGAACATATGAGCAGCTATTAAAAGCCATGTTTGCACTGTATAAGCCTTTATGTGAGCCTGACTAACATGCTAATTAAAATAAAGAAATTATAATTAATGACTTAGATATACGTTTGTCTGCATTATAGACACAAGAAGGACTCTCAGAAATGTGTGATTTAATATTACAAATATAAGTTTAGCTATCCTTGGACCGGGATATTAGAAAGAGTTCAGACTTTACAAGAGCTTTATTATTTCCTAGGTTTTTTTCCTGGGTGTCCAGGAAGCAGGACAGCTTGTGCACAACTATGATTTTTATTTTTATTTTTTAATCTCTTGCTGTCTCAATACATAAGGGCTATTGTTCCCCGTGACTGATTACTGCTGGCAGGTTGGCTGATAGGCTGGCAGGCTGGCCCAGTGACAGGCATTTCCTTTCTAGTGTCTTGTCACAAAATCTAGAAACACTAACACAAGTAGTTTTGTAGACGTACTGTGCATGTCAATTCAAAGAATCTTTACCATTAATTAACTTACATCTACATTACATTATAGGCCCCTTTTTACGGGGATCAGAAAGTGAAGGACAGCGCAGGGTGCAAATGTAAACAGAGAGAAGAAGTGGAATGTCAACTAAAATCTCAACTCATCTAATCTCTGGAGCCGATAGCCTGCAGTCTTCACAAAAACAGATCAATAAGAATGCATTCCTCTGGTCGTGAAAACAAAGCAGACTAACCGGACTGCTGTTTCTCTCCGCTTCTGTCTTTTGGTTGTAGAAAGGTTCGTCCCATTTGATCTCAGCCTGCCAGGCGTACTTTAGGATGGTGCTGAGAATGGCCTCGGACAGCAAGATGATCAGGTAGATGATGAGGAAGGTATTCATGGACCTGACATCGTGAACATTGGGAAATATTAAGTTGGAGACTTCATTAAGCACATCTTAAAAAGCAATAATAAAATAGCTTACTTCTCTACGGCAGAGCGTTTCTGGGACTTGCATTTATAGTTGAGTGCCATCTTGGACTCCATGCCTGTATAAACAGCCACTCCTGCAACAGCACAAAAAGGTAAATCATACTTCCAAATGTAGCGAAAAATGTGAATTCTTAATCGGCCTCATTCTTACGTGAAGTTTGTGCTTTGCTGAACCATTTATTTTTGTTCCTTTTATTTTGACTCACCAAAGATTTCTTTAGTATTTTTCAACCTGGCCCCTCGCAGCAGCAAATTCTCTGGACCCAGCGGTCTGACAAATACAAACAAGAGAAAAATACATCTGTATCTGTATCCAATGACATTATGCATCTTACAATGAATGCACAGTCTCCATATTTAAGTAACAATTTTCATTTATTTTTTTATGTTCACTCTCTTTTAATGGTGCTGTATCCTTAGCTCTTGTGCTTATAGCTGGTACTATAATAGACAGAAAACTCATCTCACCTAACTATCTCCTCCCCATGCTGAGTCACCGTCATACGACCAACAAATCTGGGAAAAAGAAGAAAGAAAGAAAAAACAGAGTTAAGTGGACTGATAAACCAAACAGGATACTCTGTTCGCATGCACAAAGTAAAAGGAAAAATTCAGGAAAGGACAGAAAACCTGAGACTTACATGCACTGTGATGACCAAATTACTTTAAAGCCTATGTTTATATTTTTATTCATCCACCATTCTCTGACATATTTAAGTAATTGGATTAATGCCTCTGCAGCTTAAGGAAGCTTTGTGACTCATAGAGCACTTAGAAGAAATGACAAATAGAAATGCCAGAGAAAGCTGACATTCAGAGATTAAATTTTGGTCAGACTATATCGACCCAATGTGTGACAGATGCAATTTTAATAATATATAATAACAATAAAAATAATAAAGAAACAAATGCATTTTCCCAAAAAGACAACAAAAAAGCTCTCTTTTTTTATTGTTATGCATTTTGTGATAATGAGCAGCAAATGTAATGGACCTCTAATACTGCATCTATATATTCTACATTCAAGATGCCACAAAAAAAAAGACAAGTTACAATAAAGATCTAAAAAACACCCTAATGGACAGTCAACATAAATCAGTGCTTTGTGAATATAAATTAGGCCTATGGAGAGTTACATAATGAAGCCATTTGTCCAAGCATGACAAAACATTTTACATCTTATGACTGATAAATACTGATTAGTCTGAATGTCTATTGTAATCTTCATCCTACATTTAAAGTTCAGCTGTGGTCTTGTGACAATAATTTCCTGGCTAGATTTTGTTTTTGGTTTTTTTTCATCCACCAACCTCAAGTTGAACATTAACTCGCAGGCAATTCTTGAGCTACTTTATCAAATAGGATCCCACATTGAAAAGGTTTTCAGACACAATGTGCATTCCTCTCTAATAGTAAAAAAAAAAAAAAAAAAAAAAAAGGTAACAGTTCAGATTTTAGTTTCTCAAACAGACAGGAAAGGTTGCTATCATAGTGGAATTTTTAAGACTGTATACTCAATCAGGTTTCTCCACCCAAACACAACCCAAGCTGGTGCATCTGCCCTCATACCTCTGGATTTTTGCCAATTCTTCCTCAGATTTAAGTATCCACCTGCACTTGCAACCATTTATATTTTTTACTTTTGCACCTGCACATATGGAGAGATGCCTTGTTCATGTATTACGAGATTTTCTTCAGACGTTTGGTAAACATGTTTTTTTCTGAGCAGCTTTTTCAAATTGTTACATAACCCTCTGACTGCTTTAGTTACCCAGAAAAAGTTGCTGTTGCTTTTTTTTCTTATGTGGTTTAATGGGACTAAGTACCTTTTTTAAACATCTGTTGTCTGAATCCACACAATATACCCTTAGATTTATCTTGAAGGATCTGTACACTTAATTGACGATTACCTGTATAGGTCAGGTTCTGGTTGCTGACACTCCACCACAGCCTGCAATGCCTCCAGCTGGGAGACTGACTGGCAGACTGATGTCTCCGCCACTGAGTAATGGGTCTAGAAAAAAGACACACACACACACACACACACACACACACACACACACACACACACACACACACACACACACACACACACACACACACACACACACACCAGGTTAATTAGTGATGGCTGGGAAGCATTGCTTCAAGTGGGACAAATGTGGTTTTCTGAATGAGCAATGGGAAAATTATAACAGAAAAAACAGTGAAAACTCACGGATAAAATGAGAGGAAAAGCAAAAAAAAACCAAAAAAACAAAAACAAAAACAAAAAAATTACTCACTGCAGTGACTCAGATCACAGACGATTTATAAAATTGGTTTCACATTTTCCTGACTAGGTTATTAGCCATGCATTCATGTCAGCACGTTTGCAACAACTGAAATTCAATATTGTTTTTTATGTAAATAATACTTTAAATGACCCAAACAGAAATATACAGTGAAATATATAAGTGTCACTTCAACAAAGCAAAAATCTAGTATTTGCTTGAGCTGCGATAAAGAAAAGAAGGTGAAAATAGCTTCTGAAAACTCAGTGACAAAGCTAAAGAGATTTAAACACCTCCAAGTATGTTTAACAGCACCACTCATATTATTGTCAGACCTTGAGATTGGTCTCTCCGTCAAGACTGGCTGTGGTGATGTGACAGGTGCCATCTGGACGATCTGACGACAGTAACACCAGGTCTGCTGGGAACGTTTCATCTTTAGCCACACGGACGATGTCTCCCACCTAGATGGATAGACAGAAGCAGGCACAGGGTAAAGTCTGTTCAGTTTTTCACTATATTTCAGTTGGATTGTCAAATAATTGTATTCACACATTTACGGTGATGTTTAATTGAGTTAAAATACGTTTAGCATCACTTAGGCAATATTATCACACGTTTTCAGACAGATAGTTTTTCTCCTAAGTACACACACACACAAACAAATATTTTAGAAATCTAAAAATGTTTAAAACTAAATAGCTAAATGACTTTGTTAAGAAATATATATTGTAGGCAAGTTAAAAATGATTGGGGTGCAACTATTATCGAAATTTGCAAATGTGTTTATTTTTGGTTGTTTTTGACCTCTGTGCTCTTTAGCGTACATGAAAACACCCACAGTTGGACCCTTTGGAGGACGTTGGCTCACTCTGCTTCTAAACAAGCTCCAGAGCCGTTTTTGTATTGTGACAATGTGTTCTGATGTCAATGTGACCCAGGTACTAGGCGCACGCTGCAAGATCTACACGCCGTCCTGTAGTCAGGTGTGCTTTGAGGATGTGGTAGAGTACCACATAAAGACGTAAAGAATACAGTTTTGCCTGAACATTTGCCTAGGTAAATGGAAATGTTAGAGGTACATTCTCCACGTTATTTACTACTCCAGAGCCTGGCCAAGAAGTGTACTGAGCGTTCTCACTGGTTAGTGAAGTGTTGTGAAGCATTTTAGTTCGCTGGGAGTGTTTCAAATGTTTTGTGTGGGAACAGAAATCAAACAAAAACTCTGTATTGTTCACACTCTAGACAATATGTTTAATTGTTATATTACAGTTTGTATGTCTGTGAAGGTTCTCAGTCATCCAGGTCATCGTTGTCAAAGGAGCTTGCAAAGAAAAGCGTCTGGACTTCTTTAAGTTGCTTGAAGACGTTTCACCTGTCATCCGAGAAGCTTCTTCAGTTCTAAGGTCAAATGGTGGAGAGTCCCAGATATAAACCTAGTGGGAGTGACCCCCCACAGAGGGACAAAAGGACCTCTGAAACTGGGCGTGGGTCCCAATCACCCACGCCCAGTTTCACACCTTGGCTCAGGCGATTAGAGGATCATCAGGGGGTCCTTTTGTCCCTCTGTAGGGGGTCACTCCCACTAGGTTTATATCTGGGACTCTCCACCATTTGACCTTAGAACTGAAGAAGCTTCTCGGATGAGAGGTGAAACGTCTTCAAGCAACTTAAAGAAGTCCAGACACTTTTCTTTGCAAGCTCCTTTGATTACAGTTTGTAATTTTTAGCTTTTTGTCTTTTCAGAGTAATACAACACTACATATGTTACTTATTTAATAGAAGCTATGCAGTTAGATGTTGTTTGTGAGTAGCAGGTTAGAAGTAGATGTAGTTCTCCATAGACTGAGGACAATTAACTCTGAAAGGTCACCAAACACAAAGCAACTAGTCATCCTTTGTATTAGATTAAACAATTTCACTCCTGTTGGCACTTAGTTTCCTGTGAGGAAAAAACCCCTCAAGTGATTCATTTATTCTTTTACTAAAGTACACATTTAGTGATGTCTTTAGTGATGACCCCAGACATGCAACCCACAGTGTTTCCATAGTGTCAGATAAGATCAGGAAAAACCTATAATCATCACACAACCACCATTACCAGACAAGCCGAGGTATAAAATGACACAGTGTTTGAAGGGCAAATGCTGCAGCTAGTTATACAAATACAATTATACATAGAACAGAATCATATCACCGTTTCAGGGTTTATTTGAACAGGTCTCTGAGTGTTTGCATACTGTACCATGGGAAATTAGGTGTTAGAGTGAATTTATAAGCTTTAGATGGGAACAAATTTAAAGAAATGACACTTTAACATCCAAGCTAAAGTTAGTTACGAGTCGTTAGGAGTTGCAAAAAGCTTTTTTTGATACCATAATTTTCTTGGACCAAAGAAATTCTTTCTAAACTGGAATAACTGGCGTGATTAAGGTCCTTTACAACTTTGATGATCTTACCCTGATATTCTTGGATCTCGTCTGCACCAGACTTCCACTGCGAACCACAAACACTGGAGCCCCATTCACCTCATTGTCAGCCTTGTGTCTCAGCCAATCCTCATAGCCCTGTGAAACACAACCAGTTACAAACTGCAGATGGCAGGTGGTTAAAATAATCTTATTTACCCACTATGGTTGTGTGTGTGGCATGTGTGGCACTACTAGAAACTGATCAACAGAAGTGGCCAAATTTAGCAAGTTATTCTAAACAAACGTGTTTAATGTCAGAAACAGGAATGCTTCAAATGTTCTCAATCAATACTTTATAATTTCAAATGTGCTCTGTACAACAACAAAAGCTTTGAGCTTTGCCTACAAATAGACAATAATCATTGATGACGCATGCATGTTTGTTCCACATTTTCATGAGGAAGAGGAAGCCGCTATGTGGTTATGTTCTCACCTGTTTTATGGCAGTTACTGTGATCACAAAGAACAGAGGCAGGCCGCTGGTTACTGGGGAAGTTGGCGTATCTATCATTAACTTCAAAGAAAAATACAAAACAGAGTTTAGAGATGATGCCAAACTAAAAAAGGGACTGTAAAAGTGGTAGTGGTTTTTGCAACAACGAGCAACTTGAAAAATACAACAGAAGTAGTGGCCAATGTGCATAAACAGGAAACCCGTATAACTTCCCTTAAAGGTCAACGATCAGATAAGAACAAGTCTCACATACACTTTTGAATTACTGTCTTTGTAAGCAGGGTCACTGGGATATTATATTTCCTCACCCCATATCCTGGTCTTAATAATCACAACGAAATGCTGAGCAAAGTGTGTGAAATTGAAGACCAAGCTAAAATGATTTAGTGCCATTGAGCAGTGCTTTTATTAGTGGATATTAGTTTTGGATTGGGGGGTGTTTCATAAGCAGGTTTCTGGCAACTCTTTCACACTGTTGCACTAGGGCTGCTCGATTATGGCAAAAATGATAATCACGATTATTTTCACTGAAATTGAGATCTCAATTATTTGATGATATTTATTTAACAATAACAATGTATTGAATAATGGCTTTAAAGATTGTCAAAAAATAATATAAAATAGTGTGCAAATACTGATAACAGTGCAAATGTTTGCAATATAAGAAATAAATGAAAAATGTAAACATCTATGTTTAGTGAACTTTGCAGTGTTGCTCTGTGGTGCAGCTACGACACTGTAGCAAAGTTTACACACTATGTCTACTTGATCCACGTCTGACTCTGCGAGCCCATAATGTTTCCAACCACTGAAGTTTTTTTTACCTCTCTTTTCAACCAACGGCAGTCACTCTCCTCTCCAAATAACTTCTGCTTAGCTTTCCGAGCTTCCCTCGGGTCCTCTTAATTGTTGTGACGCGTGTTCGACATGCAGAGAGGTACGCTCGATTTGCCACACGGAGCAGCGCGAGAGTAAAGCACGAGGGAGGTGCTAATAATCGGCTCAGTCATTTTTAATGATCGTTGAAAGCCCAGATCGTAATTTAGATTAAAATTCGATTAATTGAGCAGCCCTATGTTGCACTAATCTACAGGTGGAAGTAGTCATCCAATAAATAAATAAAAAAGTAAATAATTACTCATGAATGTAAACAATGCATGTTCATAAAAAACAACTGCACTGCAAACTTTTCATGTGAGGAAAATGTGCAACATTTGTTAGGCTTCAAGCGTAACCACAAAGGCTTTAGGCAAGCAACACTGAATGTAAAGTGAAACTTTGCTTAAAAGGAAGACGCCTCAAGGAAAAGATCAAAGATATCTTAACACTTTAACAAACACTTTCTGTAAATGGCTACACTAACAGAAGAATTCACCAGTCATCTAGAAACCCATCTAAAGCAATCTTTAAATGGTCAAATTGGCCATCTTAGATGAAAAGAGGCCCCTCTCTCAGTGATTTGAGGCTAAGGTGACTTCAGCCTCACTGACATGTTGAGTGGGTGAAAGAGTCAAGGCGATTGCTTTGGCTTCACTACACAGTGCAGAATAAATCAGAAGGCTAAAAATTTGAAAGCCAAATCCTACTTCAGCATAAAATGACTGATGCACAGTGAAGGCCTAATGCTTAGGGCTGGCTGCAAAGACACACATATTACTAAGTGAGTAAGTGTGTCGCTTTCATACAGAGGCAGACCAGTCTCTGCTCTGGTACCTAGAAGTCGATGAGTCACTCAATGCTCGGAAGCACAAGAACGAGCACAGGCATTTGTATTAAGAGGAGGAAATACGTCAAGGAGTGTTCACATGCATTTGTGTATCGTTACCTGTACAAGGAAGATAATGAGGAAGTAGAAGTTTGCTATCCTTCTGAATTGCTCAAACAGATTCTTGGGGACAAAATTCCAAACTGTATACTGAAATAAAAAAAAAAGAAAACATCTTTCAGGGTTTACTGGGACAGAATAATTGCTACTAAAGGTTCTTTTTTACTAAGTAAAACAGAGGAATTGAATTGCAAATACATAGATGGTGTATTGGAGGTATTCAAACTACTGTACTAGCAACTGTTTATTAGAGCAGAAAAAAAAAACACTTTTACTGTGTCGTATTTATACTGGCCATATTTAAGACCTTACATGAATACAATAATATAGTTAAATGATATTCTGATTACCCCTGTAAAATATCTTGTCTATGGCTAGAGTGTTCACTGACATTTCCAAATTGGAGCTTGAGATAAAGGAGTACAGCAGCTGTGCTGAGCTAAAGTGTTCTTCAGATAAACTGATTACTGGTTGCTCATTTGCACATTTATTTACTCAATAAATGTGCCGTTTAAGTCTTTCTCTTACTTTATTAAGATAAAATGCTACAGACAGTTAGGTCCATAAGTTTCTGAAGAATGAAAGTTTTGGTAGCTTTACCTCTGTGCACCACCACAATGGATTTTAAAATCCAACAATCAAGACTTGAATCAAGTCCCAAATTTCCATAGGCTCAGAAGTAAAGAAGCATCATTTTAAATTACAGGAATTTTTAATACTTGAATGAAAATCCTTTGCTGTCAATGACTTCTGGATCCTATGGACATCATCAATGCTGTGTTAAAATACTCTCTGAGCAGAGAGTATAGCCCTGTACACTTCACAATTCATCTTGCTGCTTCTATCAGCAGTCACATCATCAGTAAACACTAGCAGCCCAGTTCCACTATCACCCATACATGCCTGTGCTAGTGCCTGGGTTATTGTACTAGATTGTAGATGTGGCCCCTCCTGAAGTTCTTCTCATCTCCTGAAAGGGCTGGACTGGGACGAGCTGTCACGACGCATTGTTATTATAAATAAAACGTGATCGTGAGCAAAAACGGTGTGTGTTTGTTTGTGTGTGTGTGTGTGTCGCATACCTCACAAGCTCATTTTAGGAGTTCCATTGACAAGCTATATTATACAAGTTGAATATTTGGAGTCAACAGCCAATATAGGTCACCCCCATTTAACATAAAATAATGAAGCCTCGCCTGAAACTGGTTGTCAGTTGCTTGTCCAATAACTTTTGAGCAGCTGAAAATGGGGACCATATATTAAAATGTGATTACTAAGCAGTTAATGCAATGTTTTTGTTAAACCCTTTGAATCAAAGCTCTGCATTTCGAGCTAATCTTAATTGAAAGAAATTCTATTGCTGTGTAAAGAGGAAAAATATAAAACACATATGGACCTAACTGTATGAGTACACACGAATGGCAGAATTTACCTTATCCAAAATCAGTTTCAAATCAATGCCTGACTAAAGCAGGTGCTTTAACCCTCCCGTCAATCATTTAATCTACCAGCTAATCAATGACAGTCATGATTGCTGGAGGCAGGCCCTAGCTCCTTTTCTTTGTTATCCTTTTGTCTTGCCAGTGTTCTAGCTGACCTACCTAGCCTCTCACCAACACACAAGTTTTCTGTCTGTGCTAATCCTGTTATCAACAAATCACACTTTAAGCTTATCTCTCTCCTACCACACCAGAGATACACACTAATGTATTTAGCACTGGTCAACACTGGTGTCCGAAACCAGACTGAGTTTAGAGTTTCTCTGAATGACAATTTTTCTGTAGCCATAGTTGCTGTGACTGCAAAATGTTAGCGTTCATATCAAGAGGGGTTTTTTTTTCCCCTTGCACTTTTGACACAAATTTTAAGATCATAATTGTAACATACCTTGGATGAGATGATTCTGTTGTCGGCAAAGCGTTGTGGTATGTAGTGGCCATTCTGAGGGAAACGGTTAGCTACGTACACTGTCCTGGTATCACTCTGATGAGGGGGGTCAAAGCCCTGAGGGAGAAAAGGGTGAGGCAGAAACACCAGACAAGTGTAAGGAAAGGTTAAAAAAAACAAAAACAAAACTGTATAGCTACCCAGATTTAAAACATCATCACTTCAACACCACACTAACTATAAAATTGCAGTTAATGATGTCATTGCAATATTATGATCTTATTTTAAACCAAGTTATTTAATACTGTTGGTGGTGTGATAAACCACTGCAAGTCTACACCGCACTAAAGTCCACCTGGGGCAACGTTTTGTTCTTCTATTCATTGTGGTTTCAGCTGCTGTATAGTTGGGAGTGTAAAGTGATTTCTCTGTGGGCTGTTATTTTGTTGAGTGCAGCACAGCTTAGTTTGGGGCTTGATAGATTTTACAGTAAGAGACAGAAAGAGAAGCAATACCAGACACGACGCTACTGTTACAGAATGTAAATACACATATCAAGAGTGAGAATATGGCAATGTGGCATTCCTTGTTTTATGATGACTGTATGTTTCCATTTAAAAGCAAATTTCTGAAAAGCCAGCCATATGCAACAAACTTGGTAAAAGTTTTAGTTTTAGTATAGAGTCAAATAGGGCTGTTCGATATAACGATATATATCGGATGACAATATAAAAACGTCCATCGTTTCATTTTACGCTATTGTTTATTTCGTGGTGTCGCAAAATAAACTGTTTACGGCAATATTTTTTCATCGTTCTGATGGTCACTGTAGTGGCTATATTAATTTAAGTTCTCTCTTTCTCTTATATTTAAGATAACCACACTACAGATGGACAAGTGCCTGTTTTTATGCACGACAGTAAAACCATCGCGTGTCCGCTTGTTTTTTTCCACGTAAACCTTTCACAATAAAGCTCAAGATCCTGTTGAGACTTTTCAAAATAAACTGAATCGCGTGAAAGAGTTTGCAGAATGTTTACGGATGAGAAGCAAAAAAGAGCCATCAGGTGCTAAAAATATACCTTAGACTCAAACGTTAGAACAGGCTTTTCCCCGCAGCACGCTGTGTAATAAATACTTCCCAAAAAAAAAAAAAAAAAAAAAAAAAAAAAAAAGCGTCCGTTACAACTTATGTCTAAAAAATGTATCGTTTCATGCATCAGTTAAAACACTCAACTCCACGTTCATGACGCTCAGCTGGAAACACTTCGCGCAAGTCGAGCTGCCCGAGATTCACAGAATTTACAGAAAATGTTACATTCTTGTGATTTATATCGTTATCGGGACATGAGATTTTGGTCATATCGCACAGCCCTAGAGTCAAATCATTTTCACTTTTTCAGACAGTTAGACAACATAACACATTTATGAAAGCAAAACAACTTTACAAGCAATGCCATCAACTTGAATGCAGACAAGCCTTATTGCAAACAATGTGGTAAGGCATGAATAACTAGATCAGAAACAGCTGGTGTAAATCCCACTTACCATAAAGATATAGTCATCAGTGAGTGGGGGTTGAGGGACATGGGAAGGGATCTCAAGACTGGATTGTAGGTCACTGACCATTGGTATCGTAAGCCACAAACTCTGTTCAGTGAGTGGCATAGATGGTTTATTTTATTCCTCTTACAAACCATATATCTTCTCGGTTTTTGGACTGATAAGTCTTGAGATCTATTCTCAGGTGCCTTAACCCCCACTCACATCAGGTGACCTCAATAGGTCACATGATAGGGTGGGGCAAGGTGTCACAGTGGTTTGACCCGAAATCATGATGGTAATGGCCGATGCCTTTTTTCACATCTTGGCTTATGTGATGACACAACTAATAGTTGGTCAACAACCACTTCCTAAGCGACAACCTCAACTAGAGATAAATACCTTGGACTTAGAAATGAAGAAGCCTCTTAAATATGAGGAAAAACATCTTTTTTTTTAAAAAACAACCTGCTTTTCAAGCTCTTTAGACTTCCATGTTGTTGTTAACTGAGAACTACACAAACACATTCATATTGTGCACCTCAATTTTTCTGACCTGCTGTATTCTACCATGGCTGCTGCATCTGGGTTGAAGACACGAGGGTATGATCATGTTGGTTTTTACTGCCATAATAATATTTCAGTACAGAAGCTCAGAGATATCTCCCTCAGATATACAGAGGGAGATGTTGCAACAGTTCAAAAAGCTTGAAAGTCTTTGCTTCCACTTTTGACTTCTTGTCTTCCTACATTGGCACTTACGTGGCAGTATTGTATGAGTGGCGACACATATCGTTCAGGTGAGAACGATGAGGTATCGTGCTGTACCTCATCTGCTTCAGGGTTTGCTGTGTTGTGTTCAGGACAGTGCTGTGTTTGGACTCTCGGCTAGTCTGCTCATTGTTTGTGATATAAGTGGAGGATATGATTAGACAGTTTTTGATATATTTCAGACACATTGTTATAATACTGCAACAATTGTGCACCATACATTCATAATTCCCTCTGTTGCATAAACAAACTGCAGGACATCTGCATTTGAGGCCATGTTCTAATTGCAATCTGTCTCCAACATAAATCTGTCCAAAGCTAACTTCCATACTTAAATACTCTGGTTGAACTGTATATAATTACATAACAACCTTTCATGTTTTACTTGCATATTAAAATTTCACATTTAAAGCATTCCATTTCTTTTTAAAGCAGCACTTGTTGTTTAAAGTCACTTGCAAATATTTCATAAACATGCTACTTAAAACGTACCTCTAACATATTTACATTCAGATTGAGCAATTCAAATCTCCAGCATATTCTGGCAGGTCTTTGATAGTCACTACACCCTCAACATGTAAGAAAAATAACACCAATGACAAACAAGGTGAACTTTTCAACAAGTGACATTTCTAAGATTTTCTGGCGCTGACTGGTCTGACAAACCCCACCCAACTGCTGTACACAGATGACTAAAGGAGGCGTTTCCTATTATTCACAAATGTAAGTGACGCAATATGCACACCCGACCACACAAAAAGGAATGTATCTGGGTTACGTCACTACACTCCCAGAAAGATCAACCTCTTTTCAGGGACACATGTAAACCATTAGCACTTTGTAATGTTCTCAGTCTCTTCATCTTTCTCCCATCTGACCGTCGTGAAAATGAATGCAGCACATGCAGTTCAATGACTGAATAACAGAACACCTGTTAGCCTTTAGCTCATATGACTTTGTCATACAGTAACTCAGCCAATGGGCAATGCAGGTGATGGCATCAAATCAGTTATCCACTTGTGGAAACAATATTTTCAGTATTCTTCATTTATTCTTTTTGTATTATTTGCTCACAGTAGGGCTGGGCGATATGGCCTAAAATCTATATCACGGTATAATTTGAAGCATGTGCGGTAATGATATACTGTATATCGCGATATAATCTTTTCTTCTGTATAACGTATTTTACACACTATAAAGGCAAACTTAAAATCCTTTAATTTTTCTCAAAAATCGACAGTGCGCCTTATGTATGAATTCTGGTTGTGCTTATTGACCTCAAAACAGATTTTATGTAGTACACGGCACTCAAAAATGTTTTAGTACGACTTTGATAAGCTATGAAGCCGCACCGCCTGATAGATTGTCGGAGCATTACGGCTACCGTAGTCAGGAGCCTTGTGGAGTAATCTGGGTCCAAAACCTCTGTCTGCTTCAGGTCCCAAAGTCAAACGAACATTGCGGCATCACTGAGAGTTAAAAACTGTCTAAATTCTTTCATCTTTATTAAAATGATCAGAATTGCTGCTTTACCAGGTGTAACAATTAAGTTTAACATTCAGGCAGCCATGAAAACAGAATTTATTAAATTCAACGGAGTTAGAAGTTAGCAGGAAGTTAGCTCGCTAGCTTCCACCTAAACATGATATGCCATGTTCTGACTGAGATATCTGAAAAAATTAAAACGTACAGCTCTGCTATCACTTCCAACATAAATGAAGACAGAAAACTAAGCAGTGACGTTTGTAGGGTTACTAAAGATGGACTAGCTGGTATATAATGATGTCCTACGTAATCGCTAGCAAAACAGCTACGTTAGCATAACATTAGCACAGTGAAGCTGAAGGATGAACGCTTTTTTCCACTCGATAAAAATTAACGTGAGGGTTTCTCCTGGTTAGGGACAAATGCAATTGCATAGCAGGATGCTATACACGGACCAAACTTCAGTCAGGAGAACAACTGAGATCCAGCCACAATATGAGGTTAGTCATTGATATACTGCAACAGCACGGGAATAGAGCGGGTGCTAGAGAATTCGGCATTATTGAATCAATGGTACGGAAGTGGAGGAAGCGCAGTTTTTGGCTTTCCTCTTATTCCAAAAGTGCTTAGTCTCTTTGCTATTACTGTCGCCCAGCATAATTTGCAGATGATGTTGTTTGCAGCCGCTGCAATGCTTTCGACCAAAACAGGCGCAGCTTGATGATGACACCATCAACATGCGCTATTGTGGTAGCGTATAGTAAAAATCTCTACCGTTGGCCAAATTTATATTGTTTCTACCGTATACCATTTATACCACCAACCCCTAGCTCACAGCTTTAAAAAAATGGGCAGAGAAAAAAAGAGGGAAAATTTTCTCTCTCTCTTTTTCTGCATTTACATTTATAAAATTATATAAACATTGGTCAATTAACCACTGCAGCAACTTTAAGAAACTGTTGTTCAACAGTTATTTGATATACACAGCTCAGTAGGCATTGTTGAAAGTACACGAAGAAGCTGAATTCTGCATTGTAGTAACACCATGACCAATTAGGATTTTGAAGAAGTGGTTGCAGAATTAAGGAAAGGGCACACAGGCACTGAGCCCCAAGATGTTTTACGTGTGTGTGTTTACACATGTAAAACATGTTGGGGCTCAGTAACATAAATATCCTGAGCCCCTGGCATCCTCCGATCACAAGACAGGGAGTGCATTTCCCATTGGCTTAACGAAATCCACAGTAGATTATTTAAGTAGTCTGTAGTTTGAAGGGAAGACACCAACTTGTCTGCAAACACTCATTTACTGACGGCTGAGCAGCAGTTTAAAAAACAAAACAAAGGTCTATTTGACCGGATCATTCATGAATGAATGAATATATATATATCAGCTAAAAGGTGGATTTGTCTTAGTGAGATATTTGTCCTTTACTTCAAGTTAATGGGCAACTGGAGATTGGAAAGTATGTAGAATTAAGCATTTTGTTTTCTTGTTTGTCCCAGTAGCACTGCATTAATAAATGTCTTGGATTGGAATGAAAAAGTAGACAAATGTTTAATGATTAAATTAAACCAGTAAACCATTAACTTAATGGCTTACTGCACAAGTGTTATTTGTAGTAGTATAAAAATGCAATATGTATATTGCAACTTTTCTAGTCTTATTAGTAATGGCAAGCAACAGCTCACTGTGAATTCTTAACCAGGGATATTTTAATGTTCTCTTTTTAAAGAAAATGAAACTGCAGATGGTGAGGGGCCAAGAAGTAACTTTTGTAAGCCAAAAAATTCCCCACAGGCAGAAAAGCAACAGATGAGTCACTAAAATTAGTCAATCCTTACAGAGAGCTTAAAGCAGTTACAAATTTTAACAGTGCAAACATCATGCTTAACACACCTTTACGCAACTGCTGTGAGCAATCCAGACAACAGTTACTGGAGATTTATTCTGTTCCTATTTGTCACCCAGTTTTTCAGGCAACTGTGGAAATTGCCTGAGCACGACACGGAACTAACATTTAAGTTACCCAATCATTAATATCTTGGTGAACAATAACTACAGTTAAAATGACTGATGGCCAAATACACAAAAACCTGCGTAGCTCTAACAAACATGTTCTCATGTTAAAGAGAACATTGAGAGAAGCACCTCAGTCGATGCTTCTGCAAGTCCAGCATTACGGCTTTAACAGGATCCGTTTTCTCTATAGTTCAGCGTTAAGCTAATGACACTTCAAACAAACTGCACGTAATTGTCGACTTCCCCCATTCAGTTGCAACCTAACAACAGACCGACACCATCTTTTAGCCATCTTGACACATACCAAAGTTAAATAGATACAACTCACCGCCCTACAATTTTAGTCGCGCTGCAGTCTGCAACCACTAGTGTGACTATGGCTATGGAAATATTTTGGATTATTTACCTGATCAACAGTCCAAGGACTAAAAGATATTCTGTATTTTTGTATATGATACAGAAAAAGTTAAAATTTTGACATTTGGCACAAAGCACAAACTTGGCATTTGTGCTTAAAAATGACTAATTTTATGCTAATTCAATTCACAAGGTAGCTGCCAAAGCATTTTGTGGATCCGATGCAGCTCTGCTATATAAGATTACAGATTTCTGCAGTGCAGCAGGAAGTTTATCTAATGAAGGCTCTGCAGACATTTGTTTGGATAGACATAACATGAAGAGGTTGACTTATTTTAAAATAAAATATTCCTAAACAGTTGAACATGGTTTGTTGTTTTGAGGACCAGCGGTAATAAGCCGAACACATAAGGTGAAGTCTAGAGTGAAAAGTGCAGTAATTTATGACATTCTATTTCTATAGCACAAATGTCTGAAAACTGCTTGCCAATCTGAGAGTGGATGGATACAAGTAACAGATGAATAACAGATACTTTTACTCCTGCTGGGTTTACTCAGTTTTTAACACCACTACCAGGTGTACCTCACAATTTTGAGTTAAACACCTTCACGTAACCATATATGCATTAAATATATTTTGAACATTGTATGAAAAATGAACATTATACCACTGAAAATGAAGATAAAAGTAGGCTTATAACTAAAAACTATAAAGCTGAAATCAGCTTGTTTTCATCCATTGACTCTATACCCCCATCAATTTGAAGGCTGACAGGTAATTAGTCCCCACATAAAGCCTACAAGTCCCACAATGCCTTGGGGGAACAGCCCTGAATAATGGCAACGCAACACAACCAAGGGGTCATATTACAGATTAAGTGGCACTTAATCAAACGCGATGAGCTACCGGTAAATGGAAATGTTAACAAAAAAGTGAGGTGGTTGTAAAAAGAAAAAAGAAAGGGGGGGGCAATAAACAGTATGTACTCATGTACAGTGGGTACTAGTTTTAAACATAAGACTGATGACAACAGCAATACAATAAAATAAACTGCATATAAGCTAAACTGATGGACTACATCACCAAATATAAAATATTATAAAAAAAATATTGTTGTACAACCCACAGCAACAGAGTAGTCAGAGCAGGGCTAGAGAGTAAGGAATGATATTTTATCATGGGTGACATAAGGATGTTTTATTGCTGCGTGTCAGTGGATTGTTACAAGGGCTGCTGCAGCAATATCCAGGAAAGAGCCTGAATGAGACTCAAAAAAATGTAGGAAACTCCCATTTGCTCAATGGACTACAGATGAGTACTATAGACAGATGTTTTTTTTTCCTTTTGCTCATTTGCGCTCTTGATAGTTGCTCTATTTTTCATGATTATATCATGATTAACGTGACTTGGTAAAGCAAGGGTAATTCATTAAATACTTCTCTCATAGTGCACTTAAACTATATACAAAACCTCAGGAAGACTTATACCAGTCTTTTTAATATCTGTCAGCAATAACATACACACTTTAAGTCTCCATAAAGACATCTAGAAAACCCAGTTCCCAGGCTTGCAAACTAGTATGTCAAAGACTTTGCTTTTTTGCTACCATTCTTCATAATTTAATTTCTGGTTTGTTTTATAGTGTAACTGAACCAAGACTGACAATGAAAACCTGTCACATCTCTCTCCCCCCCTCTCCCTTTTCATTCCACCAGAAAGAGCTGATAAATAGTATGAGTGAACAAACATCCCCATTCTACCGTCCAGCTGATATTTGGGTCAGACTAATGCCCCTCAACAAACTTTTTCATTAGGCCAGCTGTATAAGGTGCATTTTAATGACACTTTTAATTAAGCAGCCAGGTCAATTAGGCGGGATGGGTCAAATGAGCTGAGCTATCTTAAATTAGGAGGAGGCTATGTACCATTTCTAAATAGACCCCTAACTCTCTGTGGTGCTCTTAATCTCCAAAAGCAAAAAGGATTTTTTTTAAACAGGCAAACTTGAAGCTGAGCATGACTCATAAAATTTAATAAGTGTCACTTTAACTTAACCTTAACTACAGAGAGTGCACAGTGAGCGGGGAGAGGTCAAAAACACCCCCAACACTGATTAAACTCAGTAGACATGGTGACATCAACCGTTTGTGTGTGGCTAATCTCATAATATGTAATCACTCATTCATTCACATGGCTCTTCACCACTGGTCACGCCACTCTCATTTGCCGATCACTGAATGTGCCTCTTATCCCAACTCTGCTTAAACACAGTGAAATAACCACACAGACCTTCATGATTACAGCCACAAGCACCGTGACACTGTAGCTTTCTTCAGCCATAATTCAGAACTCGTTCTTTCTACTGTACCAAAACGGGCCACTATTGTGGTTTAACTGATGCCTTCGCCCGTCAATGCGACCGTCATGTTTGCAGACAAACAACAGGTGATTACAGCAGAAACAGGATGCGGTGTGACGAATCAAATCAGTTCAATTTTAAATAATACATACAGATATAGATCATGTAAGGAAAGCAGGGAACAAAGAAGTGGGCCGAAATAAAGTTAAAATAACACAAGCTAACGTCAATTATTACCCTCGAGTGTTGAGGCTTACGTCTTAACTAGCTCAGTTAAAGATAGTTTATTAGTCCCTGAACAAAATTTAAATAGAACATTTGAAACTGAGCTCAGTCTAAGCGAAAGTTGTGCGTTAACACTAGATATAAAGCGTCTCTGGCTTGCTTTTAACTTTGCCAAGTTTGACGTTGTTAGCCAGCTAGCTAGTGTTAAGGTAGTTAACTCTCAGGTGCATTTAGTAACGGAAATCACCCGACAGTTGTTAAAATGCTATCAAAGTTCGAACCAAACTTATACCTCAAGCTCAAATTTGAACTCAACCAATGTCCCTTGTTGAGGTCTAAACTCTTTATTACTGACAGCTAGCAGATAAGGTAATTGTTAGCTAACGTAACCTACACCTGACTGTCACTAAGGGGAAATGGAATGTTTTGAACACATCAGCAACAGCCAATTGGCTATGTTAGCTTGCTCTCTAAATAAAGTTTATTCTGCTTTCCGCGGGCTAAGCCTTACAATACGTAAGGAGACTGGCTGCTGTGGCGAACTAATAAGAGGAAAGCGGTATGTATGAAGAAGATGGAACGTGCGGTTTCATTTACCAGCTGCTGTCGTATCCACCGAATCATCCTTGCAGAATACGTTCCAAGTAGCCAGCACAGTCGCTAGCCCAGCGCTAGCAACTAGCTACTCCAACAAAACCGTCCCGAAACATAAATATTTCCCCCGAGAGGCAATCCTTCTCGGTGCATTACACGACACATTCACACGGCGCCACTGTGCTATAAGATGCATTCAATCTTTCCCATTCACGGTAATGTCCGACAAAAACAATTTCTGGTTTTAAAAGAAGTGACAGACGGCTGGCCACAGAGTCCCACCAAGCAGCGCTGCTACATCTCTCCTCTGCCACGATCACTTTTCCTCTGCCAGCAGCCTCAGCCTGTGCAGATACAGCTCTGGCTGCTCTCCGGTGGCCTTTGCACGCCCCCTGCCTGTCTGCAATTAAAAATGATAGCTAGATAGACTGACAGATACAGTAGCCGGATAGATATTTTCCATACTGTGCGGGATAGACCTCACTCCACATAGTTCATAGTGTATATAAGAATTTCAGCTGTGCTATTAAAGTGCAGATGTATGGTATAATAGGGATCGTGCAAGGTTCTCCAGGTAGCTTACTAGGCAGCTAGCGAATCTTGTATGAATTGGAGCTGGAAATTGTGTTTAGGTGCATTTGTTTTATTCTAGTGTATCTTAAATATCTTAATAGACTGTTTATTTATCATCTCCTGAAGTAAAACCTAACTACCTATGAGCTGGAAAAACTGGTCGGTTTATCTTTTATCCTTTATCTCTTTCTTCTAAAACTGCCCAACTACCAGTTGTTCCAGATTTTCTCTTGTAAGGCATCTCGCATAAAGTGAGGTCATCTTAGTCCATCCATTACTTCCCCTCCCTCCTTGAATACTTGGCTGCATCCCAGTCAGTCGATAATGTATAGAGAGAAAATGATACCTAACGTGGAATGCTTGAGAATTTATGTATCTGTAAGTTTCAGGACTGCACCGTGCTCTTTGTACGTGATCGAAAGCACCAACATGATACTTCTATTGATGAAGAGTGAAGAAGAGCAAATGGCAAGTGATAATGATCCTGTGTAATCAATGTGTTCGAGCAGCTATATTTGGACCAGAACAGCTGCAGCTGCCCAAGCATTTCCTCTCCTCTGTTTCTGGCCTGCTATCAAAAGGAAAGACGCCCATGTATTTGCATGCTTTTGCATCATCCCCAGTACCTTCACCTTTGCTCCTTAAGTGGCCAGAGTGAGTCTAATGTCTACAGCACACAGTTTATCTGATTTCTGCTGGACTTTTCATGATAGCAGTCTTACAAAAAAACAAAAAACAGACAAACTAAGCCAAAAGCCACCGATATGCATTTACCCGGGATTAAGACTGCTTTAGGTCAGCAGCAGGCGAGAGTGACTGTGTGCGCAACGTCTTGCCTTTAAGGCCTCGTCATCTATCACGTACAGAGTAACCAGTGACACAAGCCCCATTGTGTGCTTTGTGTTTCTGCTCTGCATCCAGTAAAAACAGAAATGTCACTTTTTAAAAGAGCAGATTTACTCTGCAAATCCTGCAGATAATCTGCTATCTGTCTGCATGTGTGTGTGAGACTGAAGCTCAGTGTTTCTGCCCATGTGACTGCAAGGGAAATCTCTGGTTTACATTGGCTTACATAACGCCACTGCAGCAGCAACATCTGGGTGCTCCTACCTGACAGCTGGACTGGAAACAGTATGTCAGTTTTTAATGTGAGAGGCTGCCAGGGCTGTGCATATTTCAGCTGTTGAGATGAAAACATTACATTTCTAAAATGTGTCAGAGAAATTCTTTTTCCAGTTAATCTGTTGTTTGCCGAGGTTGCAAAGCAACTAAAAATAGTGATTCAAGCTCATCCTACACATGAAAGAGAAAAGAACCAATCCTTTATTTTGATTTGAATCATTTACTCTCAGGAAAATGTCTTGTGTAATCTAAGTGTACTTTTTTTACCTTAAGTTTTATGGTCAGCTGCATAGTGATCATAGACATAGAAACTGCCAGTTGAAATGTGTGTGTTGTACCTGAGACATGAGATGACTGGCCAGTGATTCATAATGCCCTCTATGTCTGTCATGGAAATGGATGGCAAGGCACCAGACATTGCTTGGCTGCCTGCCCAGCTTTGTATTGAATTCAACTTATACTGCAATCTCGCTTGCAACACAGTACTGTGGTCTAACAGGTTAATATTACTCACCATACTGCACCGTTCAAGAAACAAGTCAGTTACCTGCATGTGTGCCTCCTCACACACTGTTGGGCCACACATGTTTTACATGTGTCATGTGAGACATGTTCCAACCATGGCTGGGCTACACTGTAGAAAAGATGGCATCTTTATGTCTGCATAACATGTGGCAGTGTTTCTAGACACACATTATTTTAGAGGGGGATCCAGCACCACGTGTTGTGGTGTACATTTACTCCATTAAAAGGAAATACTGCATGAGTTCTTTGTTAAAAGTAGATATGTGGATACAGGTACGAGGTCTTCATAATCCATTTAAGCAATAAATCAAAAATGGACAAAACTAAACTAAAAAGGCTGTCATGTAAACTGTGCAAGGAAAGAAAGCACGGGTGTTTGACCTCTGGATTTGCCTTACATTTGCGTGAGGCACACCCTGTTTTGTTTCGAAATGACTTGAGGCAATGAGAGCCTGAATTAGTAGGACAACTTAAAAACTTCCTTTCCTTTCCTTTCCTTTCCTTTCCTTTCCTTGTCAATGTACATTAAACTGAATTAATTCATCAGGCCTGTTTAACCATGCCCTGGATGATCCTCTTGGTAAATACACCAGCGCTAAGTGGCTTTCAATCATTACCACCACGTATCCCCAGCAGTACTAATAGGCTTAGGACAAGAACTCACTATCAGCTCAGACTCTGCTCCCTCCAAGTCCAGCTTACTTGCTCAAGTTTCGGTTACCACTTTATATGTGGGTATATTAGCATTTGTCTTGTTGCGTTAGCATGAATAAATGTCTTACTGTGAGAGAAAAAAAATGAATAATGGACTCAGGGGAGCCTAACATTGGTCGTTATGCCTCTTAGGGAGATAGAAAATGAATGGACTGGCTTTTAAAGTGGATGGCTGAATCAATACCAAATGGCCATTAGTCTTGAAAATATAAATAAATAAAACATTGCTTTCAGAATGAATACTGGCGTGAAAAAAAGGGAAATGGTTTAATTTAGTTTTCTCAATGATGGACACTGGTCCTCGAGAGAGGCAGCAGTGGGGGAAAAAGTTAGTTGATAGTCACTGGTGGGAGGTTTTTAAATCATCTATCCAAAGGAAAGAGCTGTGGGGGAGATCTAACATGTGGTATAAGTCTCCCTCTTGAGGACAAAAGAAGGTGTTGCAAATATAAAACAGCAGTTCAGTAAACTTTAAAACAGACACTACAGTTGTTCTAAAGTACCAAAGCCATAATCTCATTCTAAGGCCCAAAACCTGAATTTTACTAATTTACTTTTCTAATTTACTGAATCATTCGGCTTTTTGAGAAAAAACTTTAAGCCCCTTTTACTCACTGGAAGACATCTTTTCCACAGTGACAAACTTTGTGATGCATAAATGAAGCCACAGGAGGTGGAAGTTAAACTGAACTACAGCACGTATATTAAAATAACACACACAGGCATACTGATGTCATTTATATGATATACGGCAGTGTGTGAATGTGTGTGTGACTGGGTGAATGACTGAATGTAGTGTAAAGTGCTTTGGGGTCCTTGGTGTGGTCCTAAGTAATGCGCTATACAAATACAGGCCATTTACCATTTTACGGCACTTCAGAGTGTGCAGCTAGCAAAGGTGTGGTTAAACCAACAATGGTTGCAAACAATGTGAGAGGCCAAGAAGATCCTAAGATCAGGTTCCAGAAGAGTCTTAAAGCTCTTCATTTTTATTATAGAACTTAGTTTACTTATGTACTTATGACTATGTTGGAGATGTGAAACTGCAACTTCTATAAGTAAATACAGGATATATATATATATATATATATATATATATATATATATATATATATATATATATATATACAGTGGGGCAAAAAAGTATTTAGTCAGCCACCGATTGTGCAAGTTCCCCCACTTAAAATGATGACAGAGGTCAGTAATTTGCACCAGAGGTACACTTCAACTGTGAGAGACAGAATGTGAAAAAAAAATCCATGAATTCACATGGTAGGATTTGTAAAGAATTTATTCATAAATTAGGGTGGAAAATAAGTATTTGGTCACCTCAAACAAGGAAAATCTCTGGCTCTCACAGACCTGTAACGTCTTCTGTAAGAAGCTTTTCTGTCCCCCACTCGTTACCTGTATGAATGGCACCTGTTTGAACTCATCATCTGTATAAAAGACACCTGTCCACAGCCTCAAACAGTCAGACTCCAAACTCCGCCATGGCCAAGACCAAAGAGCTTTCGAAGGACACCAGGAAAAGTATTGTAGACCTGCACCAGACTGGGAAGAGTGAATCTACAATAGGCAAGCAGCTTGGTGTGAAAAAATCAACTTTGGGAGCAATCATCAGAAAATGGAAGACATACAAGACCACTGATAATCTCCCTCGATCTGGGGCTCCACGCAAGATCTCATCCCGTGGGGTCAAAATGATCATGAGAACGGTGAGCAAAGATCCCAGAACCACACGGGGGGACCTGGTGAATGACCTGCAGAGAGCTGGGACCAAAGTAACAAAGGTCACCATCAGTAACACACTACAACGGCAGGGAATCAAATCCCGCAGTGCCAGACGTGTTCCGCTGCTGAAGCCAGTGCATGTCCAGGCCCGTCTGAAGTTTGCCAGAGAGCACATGGATGATACAGCAGAGGATTGGGAGAATGTCATGTGGTCAGATGAAACCAAAGTAGAACTTTTTGGTATCAACTCAACTCGTCGTGTTTGGAGGAAGAAGAATACTGAGTTGCATCCCAAGAACACCATACCTACTGTGAAGCATGGGGGTGGAAACATCATGCTATGGGGCTGTTTTTCTGCCAAGGGGACAGGACGACTGATCCGTGTTAAGGACAGAATGAATGGGGCCATGTATCGTGAGATTTTGAGCCAAAACCTCCTTCCATCAGTGAGAACTTTGAAGATGAAACGAGGCTGGGTCTTCCAACATGACAATGATCCAAAACACACCGCCCGGGCAACAAAGGAGTGGCTCCGTAAGAAGCATTTGAAAGTCCTGGAGTGGCCTAGCCAGTCTCCAGACCTCAACCCCATAGAAAATCTGTGGCGGGAGTTGAAAGTCCGTGTTGCTCGGCGACAGCCCCAAAACATCACTGCTCTCGAGAAGATCTGCATGGAGGAATGGGCCAAAAT